GGGAGCGGGCTCAATGCTGCCTCAACGCCATTGGCGACTGCGGTGCAGATGTTGCACTACTCTTGTTTACGGGAAAGATGCTGTGTTCGGTGCTGTGAAGGACGGAACCAAGTGTCGAATGTTTCAGGGCGGTATTTTGAGATCCGTCCGCAGAACTGGCGAGGACTGCAGAAAGCTCAGTACAGCGGTCGACTACTCGAGGCAAACGGCCATACTGTGTTCATATCTTTGTCTTTTCCCACGTTGGTACTGGACCTTGCAGAGCCACGGAAGAAATTCTTCCCGAAAAGAATCGAAATGCTCTTTCTCGTGCAAGACATCCAAGACAGAGCGCTTGCAGATATATACATGCGAGTCTTGAACATTGGAGGATAGAGACGTTCTCGGATACCTTGGAACGTAAGTCATAAGTGTCACCAGCCAAAGAACGTCATACTTTGCAAGTAAAGACATCCTCAATTCACTTCTTCGGAGTTATTATCCAGATCGTCGGCAGTATCCACATACAGAAGTGTTTCGGAACTGCGATCCCATACAATCGAGGTAGTGGGTGCGATCTGTCCCCACTCGTCCGGGGTCGTGCTTTTTTCGGCTTTTGTTGTGTGAACCAACATGTTGTAGCAACGAGACCATCAGACACCGAGTCTACCGGAATCGATTCAGCAGGGTAGTGAGGGGTAGAGATTGAGGTGGGATGAAGTCGCAAGGCACGAGGATGAAATCCCTTGGGATCCTCGACGCGAAATGGCGCAAAATAGTGCATGTTCCGACTCCGCTGTCAGCAGTCTCCTATGACTGAATATCGACATGAAGGGAGGCATATGGATGCGAGAGGATGTGATGAGAGATAGCCGGCGATGGATTGTAGGACAGATCAACAGAACATCTGTAAGCTACGATGAGTATTGCTGAGAACACATCGAGGAGACCGACCTTTGACACCAGCTTGGTCCAGCCAGGAGAGTGTGTAGTCAACTATTGGGATATTTGCCAAAGGAAGTAGAGCTTTAGGGCATGCTTCGTCGCCGTGATCACTGGTTAACGGCGTAAGTCTGCACAGGATGAGGGCGTGTTCCCGGGTCGACAATATATTGAATTACTCGTTGCCGAAGCCCGCTAGAAGCACGCCCAAGAACTCTGGTGGGACGAGTTCAATCTGAGGGTCCATTTCGAGCATTTTGCAATGTGTGCGATCAAGATAAGTTCAAGGCTCGGCTGACTCGATGCGGACATGATCAGTTTGACAGGTGGCTGTACCATACCTCATGAGTGTACACCAACTCTACAAGCGCTTGGAGACCGTCGGCAAAGGCGCCTACGGCAGCGTCCACAAAGGCATCGATCGTGCAGGGAACATCGTTGCTCTTAAAATCATCAATCTCGATATTGAAAGCGATGATGTGGGCGACATTCAACGCGAAGTCGCGCTTCTGACACAATTACGCGATGCACCTAATATCACCAGATACTATGGCTGCCACATGGATGGCCCTAGAGTTTGGATCGTTATGGAGTTTGCACAGGGAGGCAGCGCTCTGTCTCTCATGAAAGCTTCTAGGGATGGGTGCTTGGAGGAGAAGTTTGTGAATGTCATCATCCGGGAGGTCCTAATTGCCTTGAGCTACCTGCATAAAGTCCCCGTCATCCACCGAGATATCAAGGCTGCCAATGTCCTAGTCACGGCTACCGGAAAAGTGATGATATGTGACTTCGGTGTATCTGCGCTTTTGAGTACGGCTGGGAGCAAGCGAAACACCATGACTGGTACGTCGTCATGTTCCCGCCGGTCAACAAACTCAGCGATTGCCACCATCAGGCACCCCATATTGGATGGCGCCTGAAGTTGTGCAGAGTGTACCTGCTTACGATACCAAAGCCGACATTTGGAGTTTGGGAATCATGATCTACGAGATGTTCAAAGGCAGTCCCCCGCACTCGAACCTCGAACCTTTCAAAGTGATGGACCTCATTCCGCGCGTAAAGCCTCCTAGACTCTCAGACAACGAAGGATCCAAGGACATGCGCGACTTCATGTCGTATTGTTTGAAAGAGTCCTCTACCGAAGTGAGATTCCATCGTGTATGCTCCCCACCGCTAATATACGTCCAGCGACTCCCAGCGGACGAGCTGCAAAAAACAAAATGGATCAAATCTGTTTCTAAAGTGGGAACCACGGTTTTGACCGAGCTGGTGCGACGATTAGAGCAAGCTGGGAGGCGTGCAAGTCTCGCCGAGCCGTTGGAATGGGAGGAGGACGAGTTGAGAGAGTGCGCATTTGTATTCTATGGAAGTGACCTCCTCACTGACTCACTCAGACAAGAGGGCAGGATCGATGAGGACATCAACCCTTGGGAGTTTGACACCGTTCGTGGTAGCGCTCTGCTCAGTCAAGATTTCGACGTGCGTCGCCTTCGCGATATCGATGGCGAGAATGATCAGATGCAAGCTACGGTGCGACCTCCAGCAGCGCCCTTACCATCTTCACTGCGACTTTTGTTCGAAGACGAAACGACCGCACCGACAGAGCAGTTCAGAGTCACGCCATTCCAAATTCCTCTGCAACGCGACACACCTAGCCCACCGAATCACCTGCCAGTTCCGTCATCAGGATCTCCGAGTAGAGACAGACCGCTGCTCAAACGCGGCCTTACTGTGGACAACGTGGCTGACGACCTTACTGCCAAAAAAGGCACATTCGCATTCCCGCCTCGCAACGTAAATCGATCTCGCTCCAATCTCGCCGATGAGGAAATCATCAAAACAGACGTAATCGAGGGCTCGGGAGCTAGAAACAGTTATCGAAGCAAAGGTCCTCCCAATATCGAAATTCCCCCATCCGAGCATATTGCGTTTGACCTTGCGAGCCCTACTCACCACGCTGTCCCTTCTTCGGCTTCTTCGACGGTTTCAAGGCCTGTTATGAGCCGGAAACGATCCCAGAGCAACGCAGATGGTCCGGGGTCGGCATCATCGAAGGAAAGAGATGAGAACCGGCGCGAGTCGCCGAATCTGTTCCAATTTCCTCCATCGCAGAAAGCTGTATCACCCTCAGTACCGGATGTGACTGCTCTGCAGCTACCCAAGCCACACAACAGGACATCCCCGACTCACGCCAGTGCTTCCCCTCTTCCGGTTTCGCCCGTTGCACATCAGGCCACTCATTCACTTGACATCGTTGGGGCGACTCGACGATTCCCAGCTGCCAGCCCTCGCCCCGCGCCCAGCATGATCAGGACAAGATCGGCCACGGCACTTGCTGAAGGTACTCCTGTGAGACACAATCGGCCGGCTGTCGATCAACCACTGGTTCCGCCCATCAAGCCTTTTGCTCGAGGAACAAGAGAGCGAAGCGGAAGTGATGCGAGTAATCAGAGCTACACTCCTGGTCTTGGCACGCCAGGGCTGAAGGATGTGCTCAAGGTGCGTTGTCCTGACTATTGCTCGGTGCGTCTCAGACCGGGCTCGTAGATCCCCTCTTTGTCGTCGGAGCATCACTTGGGCATATCTGATCTGCTTCCTCCATCGCCTTCGGCCATGACGTACAGCCCAAGAATATTTGCACCGGGTTCCAGTCAATTAGCATCTTCAAGCACGGTGCCATCAACTCCGGAGCATGCGGTCAACCGTCCAGTCTTCACAGGCCTGTCTAATACCCCATTTTCACTCGGTCTGCCCAAGTCGGCTTCGCCTCCGCCAATGCTCTCCGAGCCGTTGCATTCACGCTCCCATCGACCAACGACTTCTTTTGCATCGATTTCGACCCTGGGGCCTGTCATTCGTCCGCTAGATTTTGCGGCAGTTATCGACAGCGAGAATACACACGCTGAGCTGGGACGCGCGATCGATGATCTCTCTCAATGGCTCGCGATTGTCGAAACGGGGCTCAGCACAATGTTGGACCTAACTCCATACGCAAGCACCATTGCAGAAGAACAAGAAGGGCCTGCCACCGAGCTCGAAGAAAGTGATCAATGATATGTTATTACATTTGGATGAAACCGTGGGTGGTGAGGTATTCCATGATAATGCGAACGCTTTCCTGCACGTCACTCTCGTCCGTTTTTATGTGGATTTCCGGGTTTTCCGGTGCCTCGTAGGGCGCAGAGATTCCAGTGAAATCTGGCGCAATGTTGGCGTGATAGGCAACGGACAAGAGACAAGACAAAGACATCACACACCTTTGATCTCGCCTGCGCGAGCCTTCTTGTACAAGCCCTTGGGATCACGCTGTTCGACAACGGAGATCGGCGCGTCGATGAACACCTCAATGAAGGCTAGGGAGGCCTTTTCGTGCAGGTCGCGGGCCATGGCGCGATCGGCTCGGTAAGGTGAAATGAAGGCTGTGGGGGTGATGCACGACGCATCCGTAAACAGTTTTGAGACCTGTAGCATACACATCTTTTTGAAACACTCGTCGAGAACACGGACAATGCACCCTCACCTCTCCGATCCGGCGAATGTTCTCCACTCTCGACTTTTCATCGAAACCAAGATCTTTGTTGAGGCCGAATCGGATGTTGTCGCCGTCCAAACGATAGACGAACTTGCGCAAATGCAGCAGATGTTGCTCCAGCGCGCAAGCGATCGTAGACTGGTTGTCGTCAGAAGAAAATAAGTTATGGTATCATAGGAATGGGCGAGCCTTGCCACTAGCACTGAGGCCAGTGAACCAGATGGTTATCCCTCGTTGTCCAATGAGAGAAATGCGCTCGTCGCTCGAAACAGAGCCAGGGTGGAATGTGATGTTAGTGGCCATGAGGAAAGTAACTGCAGCAAGTGGTCGCAATTGAGAGATATAAGTACTGGGTGTTGTGCCAAGGAAGTCGAAGTCGCCGCCAAGAGTCCAGCGACGAGCGTAGTCCGATGGCCCGATGGTGGCTGTAGATATACTAAACGCTTGAGATGCTTCAAGATGGTGGGAGGAGCAAATCTCTCTGCCGGCCGATCAAGTCCGACACCCACGACTTTCGGGTCAGTGGCTGCGACCGGGCCGGAATAGACTAGAGCGAACCAAATGACCGTGAGAGTGCTCACTGGCAAATCCTACCAGTGGCCATATGATTTCGGTCTTGTCGCCCGTTTGTCAAAACTTCACGCTGGAGGGAAAGCAGATACGTTCGGTGCTTCCGCCGACGGGCCCCACACGATCCAGCTTCTAATTGTTTTAAATCTCATTTGATGCATGTGGTTCGAGCCGAATGGGTTGCAAATGGGCGACAACCATCTTCGCCTAAGCAAGTAAGAGCTAAACTTGTTACTACGCCTGGAATCTTCCCTCCCACTGCTTTCCGTCGTTTTCTTCGTTTCCCAGGCAACTAGCGCAGCTTCATCCCACATCTTGCCGGCCATCTCTCCATCCTTGCGCAGGAATGGACGTGCCTCCAGCTCGGGTGGGAGATACGTGTTGGTCACAGGGTGTCTGCAGCGGAATGAGCAGATGGATCGCAGCACAACCGCCGACGTACGCGTAATCTGGGTTGTAGCGGTAGCCTTCTCCGTACCCGATTGATTCCATAAGCCCCGTCGGGGCATTTCTCACTGCCAAGGGCACAGCCAAAGTCGGATGTTCGAGCGCGGCTGCCTCGGCTTTCTTGTAGGCTTCGTAAGACACGGTCGACTTGGGTGCCTTGCTGGAACAGAATGGATCCCTCGATGACTGGCGGCGACTTTCCGCCTACCTCAGATAGACAACAAGATGAGCCAGGTTGATCCGACATTCTGGCATCCCAACGTGTTGGCAGGCAGTCAGGGTGGCTGTTGCCTGGTCCATTCAACGGCGGGTCCGGAGGTGTATAGCAGAACGTACCAAAGGCAGAGCATGATTATCCGCCAGTCCAATGTCTTCACTGGCACAGACAACCAGTCGCCGACAGATGTAAACAGGATCATCGCCACCAGTCAACATCCGAGCCAGCCAGTACAGCGCTGCGTCGGCTTGAGAACCCCGAATGCTCTTGTGTAGCGCTGAGATGAGATTGTAGTGATCTTCGGCCGTGTCATAATTGGTGGCTGCAGACCGTCGGATCAGCGCGATTGTCTTTGCTTCATCGCAGTCTTCAGGAACTTTCAGGGCAATTTCGACGAGTGAGATAGCAACCCGGGCATCCCCCGATGACATTCTTACAATGGTTTCAACGACTTTATCAGCGAGCCCATGAGAGGACCCCGCGTCACGTGAAAGGCGGTCCAGCGACTGGGTCACGATGTTCTGAATGTCTCGGTCCTGGAGGCGGTCCAAGGCAAACACTCTGTAAAACGTCCGACCGTGGTATTAACGCATCTGGAACGACTAACCGACATCGGCTGAGAAGTGCACCGTTCAATTTGAAGGACGGATTCTCGGTCGTGGCTCCAATCAACTAGGAGCTCTTGTGAGACGGAAGGTGTATAGCCAGGTACAAAGGACACAGACCTGGATATAGCCCTTCTCAAGAGAGGGCAAAAAAATGTCCTGTTCGAGATTGAGCGGTCCGTCCCGCATCAATTCGCCTCGATCTGCACACCTGCTGTCCTCGGTTAAATCGATGGACTATGTTCCGATGAGCTCTGGGGTTCGAGCGGCAGAGAAGGAACACGCACTTTCATCGAAGAATAACACCGTCTTTCTGCGAAAAGGGCGTTCAACATATGATGGGGGCCAGGATGCATCATCTTACTTGGCAGTCAAAGCCAATGTCGATTTCGCAGCGTCTACAATCGCCCGCACATCGTTGATACTCGCCGTTGTGGCGCTGAGTTCCTTGAACACAGCATCTGTCTGAGTAGCAATCAGCCGTGCAAGAGTCGTTTTGCCACATCTGGCGAGGTTCAACGTCCCATTCCATTCCTGATGGGTAATTAACTCACCCACTAGGACCCCAGAGTATTACAGAGCCAGCGAAGCCGTTTCGAATTAGATCCACGACGTGATGATGACCGACAAAATCCTTGAAAATGACAGGTCGAAGTTTCTCTGCCAATGGCGCAGCGTCTTGCAAGGTGGTCTTGCTCCGCTTCGCGGGGGGGTCACCGACCGACTTGGGAACAGCTTCTTGTGTTTTGCGCTTTAAAGCTGTAGGCGTCATCAGTGCCGAACTTTGGGACGCCATGGCCGGCTTCGACTTGGAGTTGAATATTGGAGCAATTTTTTTGCGGTGACCGACATCGGAAGTATCAGAAGATTGGCTTGATAGTTTCGGCTTGGATTGGGATGTAAATTCTCGTTCAGCGGACACGTCCCGACAGCCTTGGTCGATATGGGCATTGATATTGTGAGATTCCACACGGTTAGAGCAAATGGGACTAAGAAGAGGAGTTGTTCGAACCCGGTCGTACTGGTAGGCCAATGGCGTACCACGTCACTAGATTTTCAAAAGAGTAAGAAAAGATCTGCTGCCACAGATGGAAGAATGTAAGCACCAGTCTCGGTCATCGAAAAGGCAGTAGAAGAGCGCCAATTGTCACGTCACGTTGATTGCCTACATATGTGACAGATCGCGTCATGCAGTCCACTAACTGAAAGCACATGTAATTTCATTCAGAACAGACCCGGAATTAGTTTGTACGGTACTCGAGCACTCCAATTCACCCATTCATCCCCGAAATGCTTTTCCAGCAACTTGTCCTCCGCGTTAGTACGCAGAATCAGGCCACAGATGATAAAAGCCACTATCCCCGTTTGGAGCATCACTGCGCATCTGCCGACCAGCGTGTCCAGGACCCCGCACTCTTGAATCCAGGACCCCTGACGACCATTCAACACTATGTCCCATAATATGAGCGCCTATACATAGACGTACCGGAGCAAAGGAAAAACAAAAGACCCCAGAGACGGCAAGAATGATTCCTGTGTAGCCAGGGTGTCTGACTGCATCGTAAGGCCCGGACTGGACCAGACGATGGTCTGAAGAAGCTGAGTCGGGTGTGTTATTTGAGAATGAAATGCCCACCGTTACGAATGGAGACCTCAAATGTGAACAGATTGCCCAGCTCGCAGTAGCACCAATATCGGATACCGGCACCGACCGCGGTGAGCACGATGCCCGTAACGAATCTACACCCAAGTCAAAGACAACTGCAGAGCTCATGAGAGGGATACATACAAAGGAGAAACCCAGACGATGCCGTTGCTGCCCTCATGCACAAGGACGTCCAGAATTACTCGAGACAATGCGCACTCTGGGAGATAGCTTGCAAAAATAACTAATATCTCTGACAATGCTGCAGCCCAGCACAGAGACTGCGATTCCTTCTTAGCATAACGGAATGCATGAACGAAGCAAAATACCTTGACCAAGAACGGGCCCGATCGTTGTTTGAGTAGAATCTCGACAAGCGCCCACGAGATCTGCTCTGCTTCTGGAGGTGGAGGATGGGGAGGCGTAACAGCAATTTGAAACCCGGCCATAGCGTAGAGAATGCACGGAATTTTGATCCAAGCCATGGTGCACAATTTTACAGGCAGCCAGCTTACTGAAAATTATATGTACGCACTCGCCAGATTGTATCCAGATCGTGTCCGAGATTCTCGCAGCAGATGACAGCACAGGCCGGCCGCCTGACTGGTCTGCGGCTCCGCCAGAGGGTTGAATTGAGTGGTTCTAAGCTGTTTCCAATTGTCCCTGGGTGGCGCCCGCTCCCCGACAACAAGGTTTATATCCGTGATTTCAATACCATTCATATCCGTCCACGAGGCTGAATCCGCTCGGGGCAATGCTGTTGGTCCTGCGAGCGACCCGGAATGGAAAGAGCCGCTGTAACTTGATGCATTTACGGTCTTACCAGATCCCACGCTCCTCGGGCTAGCAGCAGAAGGCGAGAACTAGGTAGCAACCTCATGATCCAGCTCATGTCAAATTTATTGGGCTGAAGTACACAACTCCAGGATTCTAAACGGATTCTGTGATTGTTTTGAGACATAAGGTACGGCATAATTAAGCCAGGACATACGCTGTAGCACGCTGTTGAGCTTGGTCACACGAGACTGCACACTGAGGTCTACAGTCTTATCGCCAAAATCCACCACGAGGCCACCAAGAACAGAAGAATTGACCTGACTCAGGAGTTCAATGACAGCGGGAAAGGGAAAGATACTGACAGACCTTGTTGGTCACCTTGAGAACTTTGGCCTTCTGACCAGCTTGAGATTGCTTAAGGGCGGTCTCTAAGCGAGAGAGAACATCCTTTGGAAGAGGTGTCGCGGAAGTGACGACGACGGTGAGTTCTCCGCGATACTTTTCTACGAGCTCGTTGAAGCCTTCTATGACGCCTTGCGTCTCCGCAAGACGGCCATTCTCAGAGAGAACGCCGAGGAGATTTTTGGTGATCTCCGAAAGGGACTCCTTCTTGGGGGCTGCGCTCTCGAGATGGGTGTAGAACGAAGCAAGTCCAGCTTTGCGCTCATTGGCAGAGAGTGTGGGATTAGAGATAAAGGCGTTGAGAGCGGCGTCCTGGGTGAGGGCAGAGGACACGGCAGCGAGCTCGGTATGCACCTTGGTCAGCGTCTGCGGCGACTGAGCCAAGGCAGCACCGTAGACGGCATTGGAGTATTTAAGTGCGAGGGCGGACGCAGCACGTTGGCCAAGGGCGGGCGCGGCGCTGACGGCTCTTCGGGCGAACATGGAGGCGGGAAAGGTGACGGTCAATACAAATCCAAACAAACCGTTCTGAATCAAACCTCTCCTGCATTCGCAGGTCCTTCGTATGTAAATGTTATTGAGTGGTTTCCGACCAGTGCTTCGACTTCCACGACTTCATACAAGACAATTCGCGCTCAAGGAACCAAGCCTTGCGTTTCCCACCCGTCCGAACCCCTTACCGCATCAAATATTCCACCTTCCTCGCAATGCCTCCCCGGCGGAAGTGAAGGCAAGATGTTCGTTCCTTCGTTCTTCTAACATCTCATTTCTGCACTGCTAAATGTATTCAGATTTCGAATTGGTTCGAATATATCATCCGGATAAGGCCGATCCATCCGTCTCTTCCGCAGACGCTCATGCACGCTTTCGTGCTATCACGGCGGCCTATAATGCTTTGCGGGATCCGTCGCCTCAAAGTCTAGAAGGAGAATCTGGCGCACCGACGCTCAGGGCTCGTGCCCTGTACAAACGCAATCGGAATCTCTACTCGGGGAATGAGCTTGCGGACGACGGCTGGAAGGACAAGATGATTTTTGTTGGGGTGCTAATGGTAGGTAAGTGCGCTGTCCGGGCGGCACAACCCTGCATTTTTCATTAGGGCGTCGTTCTTTTTGCCGTTCAGAGTGCGAGCACACGTCGATCAATCATCACGGAAAGCATAACAGCGAATCGTCCACCAGGTGTGGCGCAACACGACGCAAGGCTGTCTGAAGAGGTGCGGCTCAGTGCCGACAAGACGGCCGCATGAATCTTCGGGTAGATTGCCTTCACTAGAAGAAAATTGATTGAATATTCTACTAGGACAGGATGTGGATAGATTTGTCAAACAGCATTTATAATTACAGATGAATGAGGTTGAATCAAGCTAACGAACCCATGGGGTCATAACATGGCAGAACAACTGCGTTCCCCGAGTCAAAAATCTTGGTCAGATTCTTGGGAGCCAGGGCTCTGGGCACAACAATCTGATACACAAAGCTAGAAGATATCAATGAGGAGTGGGTTAGGTACGACGGATGAATCGCTCACAGGTCGAACCATGCAGATGTCATGACAAAATACCCCTTGTTGCCCGCGTCCGCTCCCCAAGAATTTTCGACCTTGAAGCGGACAGGATTCCCGTCGACTGGTGGGAGGTGAATGGACGTTTCGAAACAAGGCATCGTTTCGGGCGACTAACCGTCCAAGTGGACTGCACTGATGACCATGGCATGGGTCATAGCTAAACGCACTGGTTGAGAAAGTGGTCTCGCTGAAAGTTGATAGTCCATACCGGATTCACCCGTGACCAAGCGGTCGGCTTTGCTCAAGCCGAGCTTAATGTCGAACGGAGTCTGTTCGAAAAGCAGTCAATTTCGTTGACGGCCTTGGTGAACACAAATTTACTTCGAAGTCGAACAAAGCCGGGTCCATGATACCAGTAGCACTATCCGTGAACTTTCCTACTCACTTTTAGTCACAGACGACTTGGGGGACGGACGAGAAAGACGCACCGATATCACAGCCAAAGAAAACCGGGACTCCAGCCTTGATCATCTTGACTACAGTACTCTTGAGGTTGTCGATCTCAGTGTTAACATCTGGTAATCATGTCAGCCACCAGATCGACGCACTCACACTGGGCTCACAAAGGACAGGTTTGCCACCGAAGACGTTGCCCAGCCGGTCCACAGTGTACAGCGTGGAGTAAGGGTTGCGAGGATCATTGATGAGCGAAAACGAGTCGATGGGCGAATAAGGTTTGGTGGCAAAGGCGTTGAAGAAGTCTTTAGGTGTACCCTCCCAATGACCCGCTTTGCCGTTGGAATCATAGTAATCCCATTCAAACTTTTCATCTGGGTTGGGTGGAACGCCGAGAGTTGCAGTCATCACAGTGTAGATCTCCTTCATAAGCTGCGGGGAGTCAGACGATCCCGATCTACCCCCGTATGCACCTTGCACGCACCTCTTCTTTCTTTGCTCTCAAGGAAGCAACGATTGCCTGCTGTGAAAAAGACTGCACACGGAGCTCTGTATGCATTTGTCGCAGGATCAGAAAATGTTCGCGAAGCTTCGTTTTGAGGAGGGTGTTAACGGGGCCCGAAAGTGAAGAATGCAATGTCTCTGGAAACAGGGACTGCGGCACAACCCCGTAACTGGCCACAAGATTAACGACCATATCCCACTGTCCACCATCAGCGATGATATCGTCGTTAAGGAAGCTGACGACTCGATCGTCGCTGGGAGTGTCGACGAGGTCAATGACGTTCTCAAGGTAATAGTTGGCTTTGTTCAGCTTGTCATAGAAGTACAAATAAGCCTAGAGGAAATTCAACATTTGAGGGGAGTCATACTAATAAGAAACGGAGGGTACCTGGGAAAGTTGAAAGTCTTCTAGGTTAAGCTTGCGCATGATGTCGTATCGCATGACATTGGTGGATGCAAAGATCCAGCATCGACCCGAGCTCTTTTGACTGTGGAGAGTGTCAGAGTGCGAGAAAACAATGGAACAATACGATGGTGCATACGAGGTGACAGGGCCAGCCTTGAAATCGATTGGTGTATTGAAGACATGCACGTCTCTCACCAGGCCAGCGCGAGTGGTGAGCGTCGTGCTGATATTCGAGTGAGACAAGATGTTCCGCGTCAAGGTGGTCTTAGAGCTGGACGAGACTTCTGCCTCCCAACTTGCGAGGTTGGTCAGGGTTAAAGTCCCATCGTTTGACTTTGGGGAGAGAGACAGAGAAGCCAGGGAAGCGGTGGCCTCGTTCAACAGACGCTTTTCCGACTCAATGGTGGAAGGAGTAGCGGTGGGCTTGGAAGGAGCGGAACCCATGGTTGAGAGAAGAGATAAGACTCCGTTGAGCACAGCACATGCGGGGCTTGATAAGGTGCGCGCTGACCCTTGCCGCGGCGGAATAGAATCATTAATCGGAGATGCGTGATTCCGTGCGTGGAAAAGTTGTGCGGAGATCTGTCCCGACTCCGAGGTTCAAATTAAGTCTTGATGCTTGAAGGGGTGTATATTCTTTCGAAGACCTTTCAAAGTGATGGTCACTCCTGAAATGAAGGAGTGGAGTTGGAGTGGATGTGGTCTCGCAGATACTTGAGCTGCGATCTTTACACTTGTGGCTCGTGGACTGGTGGGGCAGGTTAAGGAAGCGGCACACTAGATAAAGTCTGGGGGATTGCCAACTCTAATGCATCTAATGGCTAGCACTCTGAGCTGCGCTTGTCCGGTTTACCGGCCCGAATCAGCCTTGCTTCCATCATTATCGTCTATTTATGTGGCAGTGCCCCCCTCAATGCACATCTTGCTTCAGATCCTCGCTATTGCCACGGCACTCATTGGTGCAGGGTACAAGCTCTGGCTTGAGCCTCAGCTCATTCATCTCGGCGTCATTGGACGTGTCATTTCCCCTGTGGGAAATACGGCGTGCACCGTCCTACCTGAACTCAGTGCCTGCGAAAGTGTGTGGGTTATATCAGCGGGAGCACTGCAGCTCACTGAGCACAGAACTGGTACTTCATCCGCCTAGTGGAATCGTTTATCTTGCTTGTTCGACTCCTGAAAGCCGTAAGCTGTTCGAGTGCGGGTGCTGGAAGTGAATTTCAGGGTCTTTTCAGGCGCGTTATGGATGCCCGCTGTCCAACAACTCAATGCTTCTGGTCCGGACATCGACTACTTGGTCATGTATAATCCCGACTCAGGCGTCATTCAACGATTGGAGCCTTCCTTGTCGGGACTTTCCGTCCATGGCATGGACGTTGTGGCCTCGAGCTCCAATCCCGCGGAACTATTCATCTATGCCGTCAATCACCGGAAACCGATCGGACCCAAATCAGCGCTAACGGCCGGCGCAAACTCTACGATTGAAATATTCAAGACAGTTGTTGGCAGTGGACAGATTCTTCACGTGCAGACTGTCCACGACCCGGTGATTATAAGCCCCAACGACGTAGTAGGCAGTCCGGATGGGTCTAGTTTCTTCTTTACCAACGATCATGCTTCAAAGCTGGGGGTGGTAAGATTGATAACTTGAATTCGTGCGACTATTCACTAGTGCACAGAGGCGGCATTTGGGCATTCTTGGGCTCGATCCAGGTTCTGTTGGCTGGTGTCATGTCTCATCTGGTCCGCATTCGCTTGTTAACCCCTTCACAATAAGAGACTCTTCTGACATTGCCAGGATGCAAGGTTGTGGCATCGGGAATACACGGAGCCAATGGCATCATCGGTTCACCCGGAAACAGCACGTTCTTCGTTGCCAGCACGTTCACTGGTGGTGTTACCGTCTTCGAGCGGCAGAACGACAATGCATTTCTGAAAACGCATCACATCCCGATTGGTATGATATTGCCCCCTTCTTCTTTGCGCTGATCTCCCCACCTCGCAGACCGGGCAATTGACAACCTTTCGATGGACGAAAACGGGGCTGTCTGGGCAGCTGGTACATTTCCATCCACGTGTCGAGTGGTCGTATAAAATATGCACAGGTATTCCTATAGCTCCTGCGATGCTTCGGCACATTGCCAATCCATCCTCTCTCTCGCCTTCGTCAGCCCATGTCATCGCCATGAATACTGGGCCCGGCTCTTTCTACGGTGAAAAGTACACTGTCACAAAGGTGAATTTCTTCCTCCCGCACACTTGACTCAAACCGCTCTTGTTCGCTGTACAGATTTTCGAGGACGACGGATTGCTTGCACCAGGAACAACCACCGTCGCCTTTGACACGAGACGAAATCGTCTCTTTCTTCACGGTGCGATGTCTCCGTTCTGCTGTCCATTATTTGCTGACCTCAGGTAGGGATTGCCGCACCCCATTTGACGGTCTGTGCTATTTAAGGGTATTTCTGCACTTGCTTGTATTCGATGATTTAGCCAATCCTAAGATGAAACATTCTTGTTCTACAGGCTAAAGCAGTTTACTAGATGCTGCCGGCGCGATTCTACTCCGGATCAGCTTGATTATAGATAGTGGCAATGTGCTTATGGCCATGATTACAGCCACTTTCCATGCAAATCCAATCGTAACAACAAAAGTCAGATCTGACATCGATCAGCTTGACATCAGACACGAGAGAGGTGTGGCTGACCAAAGTACTCTGGGAGGAAAGCAATACTGATCACATAGAAAAAGAGCGTCAACACTTCAGAGATGACCATGTAGACATGCCTGGAGATCCATAAGCGTGGCGCAAACAAACGAGGGAAGAACTGACCAAATTGTTATCTCCAGGGCGACCATAATCAATTCATTCAAGATGAGCGCCGTGAAGGAGATGGAGACGATATGCAAAAACTCGTTTTCGAAGAGGACCAGGGACATGATCATGATCGCAGCCCCTTGGTATACACTGATCATAAGCCACTGGAAGAAGGTTTTGTACGACAAAGCGCGTCCCTAAGGAGAATGAGCGAAAGCCGTGCAATGGAATCTTCCACACCTTGGTGGTTTCTTTGTACAACTCTGGATAGAGAATGGCAAGATCTTCGCTGACGTCCCGGTCCAGCACCAACGAAAAGACCGGTGCCATGGTGTAGACAGTAGCGTAGCCCACCATTAACCAGCCCTGGTATAATGCGATCGGAGCAAAGAAGAATATGGCGGAGAATACGGCCTGCATCACCGAGATGATCAAGCCGCGATGGATTACAAATTGCGCCAGCTTCGCAGACCGACGGTACGAGTTACGACCGTGCCAAAGCAACAGTTTAGTGAGGAAACTGAATTGTGTGACAGAGAAATCGGCGGCAAGGGAGGCTTGCTTGCCCTCCTTACCGACGATTCCAACACCGACATCGGCGGCTTGAATCATGCTGACGTCATTGCCGCCGTCTCCGATGCAGCAAACCCGTTTCTTGGTGTGATGGCGGATTAGACGGGCGACATCTGCCTTTTGAGTCGGCGAGCAACGACAGGCGACAACAGCAGGAAGCTTGGTGGCGATCTCGACGAATTCGTTCTTGAAAAGGTCCAAGCAAAGTTGTAACGATTCCCCGTCGATCACCAAACAGCAGTCCAGCTTCGACTGGAGAAATTCGAGTTCGTTTCTCACTTGATCGGCGGTTTGGACTGCACACAGATAGTCAGCAGTACATCACGAGCACGAGCCATGGAAGAAGTAAACAAACGTTTGGCGACTTCGTGAATATACTGGTTCCTGGCGACCAGCTTTGTCGAAATAGCGATGCAACGAGCCGTTTCAATTTTGTCTCCTGTGAGCATCCATATTTTGATGCCGGCATTGCGCAACAGTTCGAGTGTAGACTTGACGTCATCTTGGAGCTTGTCCTCTACACCGGTCAGACCCAATAGTTCGAGGTCATGCTCGAGACATTCCGCAACGACACGGGCCATGGCGTCGTTTCTGCCCTCGAGACGAATGCTGGCAGAATGGAACTGCTCCTTGAAGTCGGTGTACATCTGCGCGGACAGACGTTTCCGAGCCATCACAAGAGTGCGCAATCCTTCGCGTGCCATATTCGCGGTCTCTTCCTCTAGCCAGTCATTGCGTTGCACGATGCGTGTCATAACAACGTCCGCGCCTTTCTGCAGAAATGTGATCTCGCCAGTCTGGGTGTCCCGCACAACGATGCCCATCCGCTTTGATTCAGAAGTGAACGGAAACAACTCCAGAACATCAAAGGAGATTCGCTCGCCGCCAGGTGTCTCCAAGTCAATGCGCGTACGATCCCGGAAGACGAGTGTGAGGCCGATGGATTGTGTCCATGTGACGATAGCAACTTCATCTGGAGAAGAGGCCTGGTATGTTACAGAGCCGTCGTCATTAGTCACGGGGGTGACCTAGTGAGGATGAGTGGAGGGTATGCAACGATTGGCCAGCTGCTGACATTATGACAGAGAGCCAAGCTCAGGACGACGTCGCGGACTCGTGACGACATATCTCTCCTGCCTCGAGTAGCAAGTTGCGCTCCAGTGGCGAGGGAGTTGGTCTTCCTGTGTGCTAGATTACCATGTCAGGCATTACGTCGGTGCAGCACCACAATTTTCGCACCCTTATCGGCACCGAAAGCAACGGCGAGCTGATGAGCCACTTCGTCCATTGAATCAAATCCGTAAGACATTGTGCCCATGTGTAGTTTTCGCATCTCCATTTCTTTCATGTCTTCAGTCTACATCACGCTGCCAGCACAAAACGCACCGTTTTGAGTGAGTGTACCTGTCTTGTCGCTCAGCAAGTATTCTATGCGACCCAGCTCTTCTGGGAGCGTGCTTGTTCGAACAATCGTGTTCGGGATTTCCGCATCTCCCATGATCTGTTGAGCATAAACTGTTTTCCCCATGTCTAGATTGACACGTAAACTGTGGAAAATCAGTGCAGGATCAAATAATGGAGCGCGCAGTTAGTACCTGATCGGGATGATAGACGAAAAGAGGATGAGAAAGCGGACAATATAGATATAAGCGGGCCCCCGAAAACCGTTGAGAGCCACAAGTACTACCGATAGGACGAATGTCACAGCACAAAGGATCTTGGGAATATTCAAGCGATCGGAGTGGAATATGACTGGAAGCCTACCTTGGCAAGGTTGTTTATCTCATAGTCTAGCAAGCCCACCTTGGTCTCTGGATGGCTGGTGTTCATCACAGCTCGGGTTTCAGATCCTGTATACACTACCAGACCCACAGCAGAGCCCGACGCTAGTACCGTATTGGACCAAAGCACATTTTCGGCGGTGAGGGGTGAAACGGAAGGGATACTGTGTAAAGGCACCGATTCCATATGTTGCGTAGAATGTGAATGTGACATCGCAGGGGTGTTGAGTGTGAATGTCCCGATGAAGGTATGTATGTCTTTGATTGGTGCATCGGCTGCGACTAGATGAGCCACGCAGGAGTGTTGGTCAGATCGCCGCACTTGCCGTAGATCTCTGCGTCCAGACTGATTAATTGAAACTCTTCCAGCTTCTGACACTCAGGGACAGCAACGCGAAGCTTCCAATCTGTCTCTCCGTCCAACTGGTCCGTACGTATGAAACAAGTCCCAGAAGAGTCCGATGTGTGCAAGAGCACAAGGTCTGCAGGAACGCGCTGGTTCTTCTCTAAGCGGATGAGATCGCCGACACGCAAAGATGAAGAGGGCACGGCGCGAGTATTTGCATGCGCATCTATGTAGGCGCTGTTGAGAACCGACGAGCCTTCTGAGGAAGGGTGTTCGAGGATCAGATATCTCTGCGAATTGGCTTCTCGATCTCGAAGATTGCGTTTGTAGTCGTCGTACGCTTCCTTGCCCATGGTTACACAGAGAACGAAGGCGAGAGGGGCGATGTACGTGACGATAAAACCGATCTTGAGAGCAGGTATAAATTGGGATAGGGCGACGAGCAGGAAGTAGAGATTGAAGAAGAACTTGAACTGTTCATAGATGACCAATGGAAGGAAGGTGAGCAAGTTGTACTTTTGATTTCGGACGATATTCGGTGGAAATCTTGCTTGGAACTTGGCTGCGCCCGATCAATCCTAACGAGTGCAAGTTTCAAAGAGTTGACAGACCAGAAGGGCGAACAGGAATTGTTCTCGAGGCATCCTTTTGGACCTTCTTGCGACCCTTCAGTGACCCACCGCGCTTTGGTTGGGGCGACAGCTCGATGCTTGCGTCCACCGGATTCTCCTCCTCTTCGTATTGCGTTCTCTCTTCGTCATATCTCTGATCGGCTAATAAGCCAGCTTCCTCTTCGGAGTCGTCTGTGTATCTCTCCGTACGCCTCTTCGATTTCTTCAGCCGTGACGTCGACGCAGAGGCTGCTGCGCGAACGGAAGAACGCATGGTCGTGGTGTCCTGGGTAGGTAGGGATGAATAATTGAGAGTGTTCAGCCGAATGTTATTCGACATGAACTAGAAACTGCCGATGCGGAGTTGAAACCGTCTGCGAGTGGGGAAAACAGACCCGTCCACGATGGACTCTGCGTCACTGCGTGGTACAACAGTGACGAATGCAGTATCCAAATACGATCAAAGGGCATTGTTGGATCACTAGCGACATACATACACTGATGGGGATCACCAGACTGCTTGCGTACATACTCTCGTCTACATTTTCGAGCGATACTGCTCAGCCAGAAAACTATTTAATGGCCTTGTGAGAAAAAAGAAGAGCAGCTGCGACTCACTCACCCTTCTCCAACAGACAGGGCGCACAGACCAGCCGAGAGAGCCGACACTACTCGACGATCCCACGGCTTGTTCCAATTTAAATAAGAGTAATAGGAAATGCCACCGATTATTCCCAGGTTAATCTGATGGTAATGGTCAAAATAAATACAGGGGATATCAGCAAGGACTGACCATTCCAACCAGACCGCCAAGAACGCCGGGGCGGAGAATCTGCTCTTTGGCGTGTCTATAGATAACAGCACCTTCCTCCTTGGCCTTACGTTCCTCTTCCTGGCCTGCCGGCGTCTTTCGATACGCCTCTCCAATGAAGCCTTCCAATCCAAGTAGTCCCAGGGCCGCCGCAACCGTGGAGTATATCAATCTCGTGTCGCGTCGATAGTGAGGATTAACGTAAAACGCCCTTGCGGTACCCGCCATAAGACCAATATTCACTAAACATGATGAACACGCGAGAGTTGAAAAGCTGTAGTGTAGGGACGCGCACCTAGGCCAATCAACCCGCCAGCGACTCCGGGCCGCAAAAGATAATGTTTGGCCGAGTCGAGAAGATAGATACTTTCGGCTTTGGTCTCGTCCAGTCGATTGCGGCGACGGGGGGCGGGGGCTGGCGGAGGAACTATGTTGACCTAGAGCAAGATTAGGGCAGCGCATTTGCAAATGGTTGTCCCAACCTTCTTTGTGATATCGATATACGGCGAAGATTGTGGTGGGGCCGTATTGAGCAGTGCAGGATCAGGTTTGGGTTGCTGGTCAATGCTGGGAGCATTGTGCGCTGTCACAGCTGCGTATGAAGCCATGTTGATTCAACGTAGGATGTTGAAAAACTCGACAAATGCTGACGTACCTTTTATAGTGCGGGAGCCTCCTGTCCCAGTGCCCCGCGTCACCATGACGTCGTTGGTGGGGTTCAAATTCCCATATTTTGTTTGTATTCTTCTGTGCTACCCTGTGCTACCGTGCTTGCGAGCTTGGCATCTGATTGTTGATCAACATCTGATCAACAGTTCGTGCTCTTGAGAGCTGTCACCGTGGTACACAGCCTTGTGTCCCAGACCATCTGGTCACCATGCAAGTTGACCCTAGGCGTACGATGCGCCAGGACACATTTGACCTGCGCGACCAAATCGCTCATGATGAAGACGGGCGCGGCAACGTTCACTTGGAAGCGGCCAACTACACCAGTACGGACGAGGAGGAACATTCGGTACTGGAAAGCGATTCGGAAGGCGAGGAGAATGAGGAAGAGTTCATCGACGACGACGGTTCATCTTCCCTGTCGATTCCCAATGAGTCCATCGACTTCGACCTTGTCTACTCTCTGCACAGCTTCGCTGCCACCGTCGAAGGACAAGCGAACGTGGTCAAAGGCGATAGCTTGTTCCTCATGGATGACAGTAACAGCTACTGGTGGCTCGTCCGTGTCCTGAAAACCCAGGAGGTCGGTTATATTCCTGCAGAGAACATTGAGACCCCATTCGAGCGTCTTGCTCGTTTGAACAAGCATCGAAATGTTGACGTGCGTATACTGTTCCATTGACCAAGTGGGTGTTCACACAAGTCTATAGTTGGCTTCGGCAACGCAAGCAGAGCTTCAGTCTGATCTCAGTCGAATCCGCTCGGTGCTAGCCCCACAAGGTAGTCAGCCGAGTCCGGCCTCACCAACAAATGCACCAAATGCTCCTCGCACGGGCAACACCGTTCGAAACCCTCTCAACAAGCGACGGACTCTGTGTTTTTCTGCTGAACTAGATGTGCACAGATATCCGCCTGCCGTTTGGAATGAAGAAGAATGGCTAATCGAACGCGAAGAACGGCGTGCCGCTGCCGGGGCTGACTACGATGGTTCTGACTACGGCGAAGATGATGATGGGGATGGCGAATGGGACGTTGGAAACTACGAGTCCGAGGATAGAGAACTTGCGGAGGAGGAGGTCGTCATGCGAAGGATATCTGAAGCCTCTTTGGCGCAGGATATGGACGTGGGTGGACCTCCAAGAGAGCCTGTTCCTAAACTGGTACCTCCTTCTGAACCGGATGACGGCATGAGCTGGGAGAGCGGTGGGGTTTCCATGCAGCAGGGGGAAGAGGCACTGTCGGCTCAAGAATCTCAGTTGCGTAAAACTGGGTCAATGGAGAGGATTACTTCGGACCTTGCCGAGATCACGGAAACGCGGAAGGTCACAGTCACACCCTCCATTGCGCGTGAACCCGTCTCACCGGTGGACAATGAGCAAGAGTTGGAATCGCGCAAGCGACAGCGGGATGAAGATGAAGAGGTGGCACGGAAGCGCGTGGCCGCTAAGCCGGAGGTGAAATCCAATGCGACACCGATGGGCGCACCCGTCAGCTCGACATCAACCCAAGCCAAAGCTGCGAGTCCCGTCAGCGGCGGCAAACTCCGAAAACTTCAGGAACCCCTCGACGACGACAAGGATGGGAAGAAGAAAAAAGGTGGTGTTTTCGGCAGCTTGTTCCGCAAGAGCAGTAAAGAGAAGGAGAAGGGCAAGACACCTTCGATTGGGTCGGAGAATGATCTCAACATTCGTGCATCAGAAGATTCCGGCAGACGACCCTCGAGCAGCAATGCGGGGGATGGGCTCATGTCTCCTACCACGGCTGTGGCTATGCAGCAGCAGCAGCAGCAACAGGCTACGAGCCTCCGCAACTCGACGGATCCCAAACGAATCCAGCAGATGATTCAGCAGCAGCAACCGCAGGGCTCACCGCAGGCTGCGTCGGCGGCATCGCAACTCCGACAGCGAGATCAGCAGCAGCAAGCTCTGTATCAGCAGTACCTCAATCGATCACCGTCTTCTCCGCCGGAACAGCCGTCGTATGGCCTACAGTCTGCTTCCGCCTACATGGGCTCCAGTAGTATGAGCGTTGCGCCCAGCTCATTCAGCAGCCCGTCTTCTGGTCGGCAGCGCCCCGGGTCACTTATTCTCACGCCCTCTGACGGCGTCGGTGTCCCTGAGCTTAGCGTGATTCGGGTCTTTGCAGGCCATGGCCTGCAGACGGATGCGACATTCAAGACCGTACTGCTCAACACCTCGACGACCTCTGCCGACCTCGTCAGACAAGCCGTTCAACGATTCCGGTTGGAGGACTTGGACATGAGCGATTACTTCCTCACGGTCAAGCAGATGGAGGGGTCCAGCGCCGTTCTCAGGGACGAGGAGCACCCGTTGGTCGTTTTTGAAGGTTTGGTAGAGAGCGCACCACGCGTCAAGCGAAGCAGTGTGGGCAGTGTCAGCTCGGTCGCCAGCAATCTTTCCATGCATCCGGCCATCAAGAAGTTGGACATGAACGATTTCACCGACGATTCAGTGGTCAAATTCTACCTTAACAGAAGAAATGCCGGCGACACAACCGTAGACAGCATCGATGCTGCCGACGACACGTTGGTCGCTGAGACCGTGGACGGAGACGATTCTCAAAGATATCTCACCGTCTCGACCACTGCAGGCACAAATGTCCAGCCGGAACGCTTCACTTCCCCTTCGATCAGGTTTGCTTTGCAACTCGTCATCTTTCCTGAAGACCTCCCCGATGACATGCTCTTTGATCCGTTGACTGAGGCGATCGTTTTCAAACACACGCTACGCGATCGAGGTCGTCCGTCAATCAACTCTCCTGGCGTATCCCAGTCTTTGCGCCGGAAGGTTTTCGTATTTCCAAAAAACGTGACTGTGGCCGAAGTTATTGAGATGGGCTTAGAACGATTTGGGATTGAGGAAGGAGTGGTTGATGGTGGTGATGAGATCGAGGATAAGCTTTCCAAACGACGAAGTGCTATCCGTGTTCGATATGGGCTTGCTGTGGATTTAGGTAACGGAAAAGGTGCGTCATTCTTCTCAAATCGTTGCTCGCCGGTCTCAGGGCGTTAGAGCGAGAACTGTCTCCTTCTAGTCGTGTGATCGATGCATTCTCAAGGCCACCATCCTTTCGCTCCCCCCAGACGCAATTTCAGAACAAGCGGCGCTCAGTCGACTCGGCACAGATGCTAGGGACTGTGGAGGATGTTGGTGCCGACGATCCAATATTCATTCTCAGACGAGCAACTGCATATCGGAGTTCGGCTGCATCTCGGCATCGCGTTTCAGGTGGACTGGACGAAATTGCCTTGCAAAAGTTGCACAGAGACTCAGTTGATGGCAATACGATTTCTGGAAGCTCTGCAAAGGATATAATCGCAGCGCAGCGGGCAGCGATGAAGGCCACTCAGGACCGGATTCTGTCTGCATCGACGAGCGAGCGATCAGAGACAAGTCGGAGACAGCCCTCTGTGACTTCCTTGGTGTTGGATGATGTATCTGGACATGTCTCACCTGCGAAACTGACCCAGAAACGTGTGGCCATTCCTCACGACGATTTCGGGGTGTCTCATATGATGGCTATCATCTCGCTGCGCGGGTCGGTCAGCAGAAAGCCTCTTGCTCCCCTGGATACCGTCGATGAGCTGTTATTTGGTCGTCCAATGGATGTGACATCGCTCCATCCCAAGATTCGGTCCATCTATGCTGACGCTGCCAAGGATTTGGATGATATTGACAAGGTCTGTCGCCTTTTCTATCTAGTTCATGTCTCCCTAAATGCTACTTCCAGCTGCTGGATCGATATATATATAATTAGGAATGGCTCGTTATTATTGTCCTTGCGATCTATCTACTTTTTAGCCATCAACGTCTTTCTGTAGGCCTCCTCGAGTTCGGCTTGGACGTTGGGTAATGCTGGCATGTGTGTCTTGTATTCCATACTGAATTCACCTGCCCGGAGAGTGAGACCGCCATAAGAGAATCGCGATGATATAAGCAGTACCTTTGCCTTGGGTGGATCCTCGCAATTGATTGGAGTATCCAAACATGTCGTTCAGAGCAACATCGGCAACGGCCGTGAACTCGTCGTCGCGGACTTCACTGTCGATGATGGTCCCTCTCCTTGTGTTTAGACCCCCAATGACATTGCCTGTAGGTGCCAATAATTGGTCCTGGAGGGACAAAATACTTCAGAGCACTGACTTTGGAACTCTCCGGGCGCCACAACCTCTACTTTCATGATGGGTTCCAGTAGAGTGGCCTGAGCAGATTTGAAGGCTTCGCGGAAAGCGCCAATTGTCGCGTTGCGGAAAGCAAGCTCGGACGAATCGACAGCGTGGAAGCCTCCATCTTGCAGAACAAAGCGTACTCCAGTTATGGGGTTTCCTGTCAGAGTCCCCTTTTCCAGAGCCTCGTAGAAACCCTGTGCTCCAATATAAATATGTTGTGAGCGGCAAGAGAAAAACGACGCACCCGCTCAATGGCCGGAATAAAGTTGGACGGAATTGTGCCTCCCATGATCACATTTTCAAAACCAACGTCCTTACCAGTTTCGGGGTCCATCTCCATAGGCTCAATATATCCAGCGACCTTTGCGTATTGTCCAGCACCGCCGGTTTGCTTTTTGTGCACATAAGTGAATGGGGATTTCTTCATGATTGTCTCCCGAAATGCGACACGGGGTTTGCCGGTGATGCAATCGACGTTGTACTCTCGTCGCATCCGTTCGACGTAGATTTCCAGATGCAATTCTCCCATTCCCGAAATGATGGTCTGCAGTGGGTCATGTTTATGATCAACGAGATGAGCCGAAGCACACAGACCTCTTTGCTCTCTTGATCTATGTGAACTCGGAATGTCGGATCCTCCTTTTGGAACCGGTTCAGCGCACGCGAGAAGTTAGGAGTTTCGATTCCTTGAGGCTTCAGAGCAAGGGATATAACAGGTGCAGGAACAAACATCGAGGTCTGCACACCATCAGCCACTTCTGAGAGACGTCGATGCGCTCGTACTCACCATCGAGTAGCTGGTGGATCCATCCGTGAAGGTGTCGCCAGACGAGCATTCCACACCAAAGATGGCACATATTTCGCCTGGGCCGATGGAATCAATGTCCTACGTCGTGTCAGTTGAGCGGAAGGCGGGAGAAACGCCCACTCGCCTCCATCTCATTGCTGTGCATGCGAACGAGGCGAGGGACTTTCACTTTCTTTCCAGTGCGAGCATTGTAGATCAGATTGGCCCTCTTCAGAGTGCCTTGGTACACCCGGATATATGTCAGCTGGCCAAACCGACCCTCTTCCAGTTTGAAAGCCAGGCCAACCATCGGTGCAGCCGCCGCCGGTTGGAGAGGAACAGAAGGTGAAGCCGCGGGCAAGTTGGTGTCATGGGCCAGCACTTCCAACTCAGATGGATTGGGCAGGTAAGAACAAATGCCATCGAGCAAGGCCTGCACGCCGGTGTTTTTGATTGCAGAACCCAAGAAAACTGGGGAGAACTTGAGCCCGATAGTGCTCCGTCGGATAGCTGCAGCAAGAAGATCATTCGAAGGGAGCTCGTCGTTCAAAAAAAGCTCTGCGATTTCTTCATCAACCTCAGCAAGCTGTTCTATAAGCTCAGTGCGCTTTTCCTTGGCAAGTTCTTGCAAGGATTCAGGTATTTCCTGACTGACAACGACATCGACCCTGAGCAGAGGAATGAGATCACGGGAGAGTCACAGACCATCAACGCACCCTTTCGGCCCTTCGTTGTATATAGCCCGCATACTCACCAGATCCACGACACCCTTGAAGCCATCCTCGACGCCAATGGGAACTTGAACAGCAGCAGCGGGTATCCTGAGCTTAGTCCGAATTTGGTTCACAATGCGCCACGGGTTGGCACCAGGCCTGGGGATAATCATCAGAAGGTATGTGAGTATGAGCCACTGCACTCGCCTGTCCATCTTATTCACAAAGGAAATACGAGGAACGCCGTATCGTCTCATCTGACGGTCCACTGTTGTCGTTTGACTCTGATAAATTCTTGAGCGAGTCGATATCAACGAAACAAACAAACAAACCTGAACTCCGGCAACCGCACAAAGCACCAATACAGCACCATCTAACACACGAAGAGCGCGCTCGACTTCTATGGTAAAGTCGACATGACCTGGAAAGAGGATTGGATACCGCGAGGCGAGACAGTCGAAAACAGGCTAACCGGGGGTGTCAATGATGTTGATGGCGTACTTGGATTTCGTGCCGTCTTGGTTGGTTGTTTCCCAGTCACAGAAGGTAGCCGCACTCTGAATAGTTATTCCCTTTTCACGTTCCAAGTCCATGCTGTCCATCTTTGCTCCAACAGAATCTCGACCTCGGACCTGTAACATAGCTTTAGCTCCGGCTTCCGTATTCTGCATAACGTCGATGATGGTCCCCGGCGCGTCTCACACCTCGTGGATCTCTCGTATACGACCGGTGTAGAACAATATCCGCTCCGTCAAGGTCGTCTTTCCAGAATCTATATGTGCAGAGACTCCAATATTGCGCTGGAAGCTGAGACGCTTCATATCCTGCTGCGTGAGTCTGTGCGCGGGAACGACGGGTTCTTCCAGTGATAATTTAGAAGCTGTGGCCGTGGATGCATGTCGCCATATTTGGGGCCTGTTTGAAGAGACCACAGAGGTCCGTATACACCGGGCAAGTAGCCTGAGCATGGAAAGTGGAAGACACTCAGGAAAAACAGTGACAGCCCCGTGACGCTGATCATTAAGAGGTGATGTGTCGGACCAGAGCGGAGTATGTAGTATTTATATGCAAATCCTTCATATGTGAGTAGGTAGGTACATACATGTTTCGCGTTATGGTGACTTTTCCTCCTTGGCGTCCTTTTCGCTCTTCTTGACAGGATCCTTTTCTTTCTCCTCTTTCCCTCTCTCGTCGACAGAATTCTCCTCCAACTCTGCTCGACCGACAATGGCTTTGTTGTCGACCAGCGCGTGTAACGCAATGACGGCGCGCAACAGACTACTCAAGTAAACAACGAGAAGCGTATCATTCGTGCTGGACGCAAAACTTTCTTGCAGTATCCGATCACTGAGATCTGGCAGCAGATTGAAAGTGTCCTGAAGGTGGTACACGATCTTGTGGTTGACGGGCATGTCGCCGGCAGCGACATCAACGAGATATTTCTGAACATCAGATAATCTGGATTGCAGTCCACGCAGCGATGCTAGCTGTTCTGCGACCCGGGTAGCAAGCGTCGTCGTCGTGCTGTCTTTGATGTCCCGTAGAAGATGTTCGACGCCAATCTCTTCCGCTTCTTCACCTTCAATCGCAGAAGGGACATGCACGAAAGTCTTGAGGGTTTCTGTGCCGTCCTGAAGTTGTGTCATCGATAAGTAGAACTTTAAGGCTTGACAACTTACCTCTTTGATCTCATCTATGGCAAAGTATGCGTCGGTAGGTATGCCGACTGTGTAAGGACGGACGTCGATTATCACCATCAATGGTCGCGCGACAAAGCGTTTGAAAAGGTCGTTGATCTCCTGATCCGAGGCTCGAAGTTTGGGCCCCGTGTGATACCAACCAATAAGCCGTTCCTTAGCTGGGGGAAATGAGAGGCTGTACAGAGAGAAACAGGACGGATGGCGTACCGTTGACCTTCCGAAACATATCATACATTTCCTGCAAGTAATTGTGATCCAAGAACCAGCTTTTGCTATCCTTGTCGTCTTCTTCAAATGGTATGCCAAACGAATTGGCCACGTTGATCGTTTTACCATTGTCCTGACCCAGTAGAGCTCCAATGACACGCTTAGTAGAAGTACGGGAGACGGAGCGAGCATGATGATCCGCGACAGAGAGAAGTACGAGTGGATGAACAACGGCTGTCAAGTTCTGAAGAGTCCCAAGCTGTTCTGTGGTTGCTGCGGGCATGGTGGTGGTAAGAGCTAGTGAGAAGTTCCCTGACGCGACGCGCGGCGCACAAACAAGTACAGACACGACTGACTTCTGAATGAAACCACGAAAGTCGGCGATCCCAACGCCGGGTCGTTCGCGTTCCTCCTCATCTGCAGCTCAGGTTTTTTCCACGATGGTTATATATGCAGATTTCTTAGCAATATTTTGCAGCCCGTTCCTACTCCCGATGTCGACTACATGTCCAAAGCCTTTTCGGACGCCATCAGAGCGAACGATCCGGCTTTGCACCGTGGCGCGCGCGCTAGTGACGCCTCCATTATATCTGGTTCCCCACAATCCACTTCATTCCCTCCTCGTCCACCTTCGATCGCGTCTTCAACGTCCACAAGACCACCGGAACGCGCGAAGACACCGACGACGCGACCTCCTAGCCGACACTCCGATATCTTTGGCAAGAGCATCGCCCGTTCATCTCCGCGCGCCTTTGATTTGGGCGACAATGTCAGAATTGAATCCCTTGGATTCGAAGGCATATTGCGATATCTCGGTGGGATCGACGACAAACCAGGTGTTTGGGCTGGAGTAGAGTTGTCCGGAGGATTTTACGGCAAAGGTAAAAACGAAGGATCTGTCAATGGGTGCGGGAAAACTGCTCGTTCGGTCAATATCTAATCTGCTGCTCAGCAAGCAGTATTTCTCATGCCCACCAAAATGTGGAGTCTTTGTCGCGTCCACGAAACTATCGGCACCCACCGTCGGACCGGGTGCGATCAGCCGACCATCTTCTGTTGCTTCGTCTAGGGGTGGGCGTAACACACCCTCCATATCCGGCCGAACTACACCGTCGTCTGTTATGTCTTTGAGCACAAGCTCGAGGACCCCGAGCAGTGCTCTGTCTACGGGACGTCGAACTCCTTCTCAAAGTGGGCGTATTACCCCATCATATCTGGGACGTGTCACTCCTGGGACGACGCCCTCAGCCCGCAAACCTCCGATGAAATCGACACGAACCCCAGGATCACTATCAGATAAGCTAACCGCTGGCTCTCGTGCATCGAAATATGTGGCAATGACGGCCAAGCAGCTAAGCACCAGAGACTCTGCGATACGTCCTATTGAACCTCCCAGTCCCCGACAACAACCATCTCCCTCAAGAATCAGCTCCACGGCGTCATCGCCGACTAGAACTCTCAGTTCCCCATTCGGCACGCCAAAGCCGAGTCTGGGTGGGCGTCTTTCCACACCCGGAAGCACGGGGATAGGCCGTCCTGCTCTAATCACCCCGCGAGCTCGTATCCCCAGTGCCATCGCCATGCCTCCACCTGCATCACCCGTGGCACGTACGCTTCCGGAGGCATCTTCGCGGCCTGATTCGGCATCATCTAATCAATCGGTGGTTTTTGGTGAAGAACGCGCTCAGCTTCAGTCGCGCATCGAGGCTCTCGAATACGACAATGGCCGACTTCGAGCGGCGGCGGACACAACATCGGAATTGAAGGCAACCGAAGAGCAGATGAGACAGATCGAGGAGCAGATGAACGCAGCGCGCTCTCAAGCGGAAGATGCGCAGCGCCATGCTTCTGAGCTCGAACATAAGCTGGGCGCTATCGAGCGAACACTTGCGGATCGCGATGCCCAGCTCCTTGAACTGGATGCAGAGCGCAATCAAAAAAGCTCAGCACTCGAACAGCAACTGCAAGAAGCCATAGTACGCGCAGACTCATTGCAACAGCAATATGCCCAGAGTGCCGTGTCTCTGCGAGAAACTATCTCTGCGAGGGATACTGCTGAGCGGGACTCCGAAAGCAAATTCCGAGCCAAGGACGCTGAAGTCGCTTCGCTGGAGTTGAGATTGAAGGGTGCCCAGACTCATTTTGAGGAAGAGCGGAGGGAATTGGGCGCACAGGTAGATGAGCTTAGGCAGGCAGGACAGGTATGTGACCGAGCATCATTTTGTCCTCCTGCGACTCATGACAGTCATAGGAAACGATTGCGTTGTACGAAGAGCGCCTGAGCGAAGCAGACCGAGAACGATACGATCTCGAAGCACGTATCACGACACTAGAATCTCGCGCCTCTGCTCGCAGTCCATCTCCAGCCTTAACAACCAAGACAGCAACTTCCTCGGCGACGGAAATTGACAACGAGACCTTACGCGAGCAAGTCGTGCATCTACAGCGAAAGATCAGCAAACTAGAGGACGCTCTTGAGGACGCTCAGGCGGCTCAGGAAAGAGATGAGGCTGCATTGGCTGACAGGATGAGACGTCTCAAGGAGAAGGAAGAGGCTATGAAGAAGGAGCTGACTGAAGGACGCAAGGAAGTTGAACGTACGCTCAAGTCCGAAGGTACCGCTCGTCGCCGATTGGAAGAGATTGAAGAAGCGCTGCATGAGAGCACTGCCGCGCTCGAAGACGCGCGAGCGGAGGTTGAGGGACTACGTACCGAGTTGATGGTCCGGGCCGCCATCCATCATAAATCCTTTGTCACTGACATTTCTCCAGAATCTGGATGGACTTGTCACAGGGAATGGAGATACTGGTGATCTCTATTCTCGGGTTGCTCTGCTCGTGACTCGGGCATCAAGTGACAGGTCAAGTTCCACGTCGGAAATCGCACATCTGCAAGAGCTTTTGAAGGAAGCGCGGCGTAAAGAACTTGACGCTGTTCAGGATGCTGAACAATCTCGTGACAGCCTCTCTAATGTGCGCTCGGAGCTTGAGACCCTCAAGAATAGGACGACAGATCGTGACGGTGGGCTGAACAATGACATTCAACGTGTGCCAGAGAGGTCTCCAGCATCCACGAAGCATGATCTCTCAGCAGCCAAGGATGAGATCACTGGTCTCAAGTCTGTTGCCTCCAGTAATACTCTAGCATTTCTGATGAGACCCCAGGCATATCGTTCAAGAACTACAAAAGGAAAACCTGTCTGCTGCTCAGCAAAACAAATTACTTCAATCCGAGAACCAGCTGCTGGCTTCAGAAGCCGAGCAGTTACGGCAGGTATAGTTGTATGCTATGGCCTCATGGTTTATACTGATTTCTTACTTAGGAAATGCAAGTTCTAGAAGAAAACTTGGACAACAGCCTCATTCATGAAGCAAGTGATGTGTCCGATGCACCAATGGATATACCATCTCTTCAAAAGCTTCTTAGAGAGCAGAAGCTCAGGTCTGAGGTACTTTTACTCACTATATTTCTTGGACAATATGAAACAGCTATAGATTGAGACTGATCAACTGCACAAGCGTCTCATGGATTCAGAGATGAAAATGGCTAGAGTTTCCCATGATGTAAGTGACTTCTGAAACAATCTATGTAATTCTCAAACCTCTTTTCTATAGTTGCAGAAGGAGATTAGTGAACTGGAAGCCTTGATTGAGTCCAAGGAAAGATTCCTATCTCTGCAGATCTCATTGTTTCTTCTAAAACCTTCTATAGATTTACCATGAGGATGAGTTGGAGCAGGAGCTTGAACACCTCAAGGCCAAACTAGAATATCAGACAAAGTCCTCCAAACAAAGCAATGCTGTTGATAACAAGAGAGCCTCACTAACAGTCTCCCATGTCTCTGATGGAGATCTTGTTTGTGAAATATGTGAAAAGTCTGGTCATGACATTTTCTCATGCTCTCTTCTTGCAACAGGTTCATCTTCTGATATGGTCAGTTTCAGTTGTTTTACTTTACAAGTCCTGTACTGAATTTCCCATGTTAGGTAGAGCTACCTCATGAAAACTTATTTTGTGAGGATTGTGAAACTCATGGACATACTGCTGCCAACTGTCCACATTCACTGGATGTATTCTAGTAATCTAGCAATTTATACCCTCAAAAACAGTATCTTATTGATTTTTATTTGTTGCACAAGATTGAAATTGTGCAAACAGAGAGAAAGTGGATTCTTGTGCATTCTGCCTCTATCAATGTTTTTTTCCCTTGCATGTATTTTTAGATAACTTTAATTCCTCAACTGTTTGATTATTTCTCTATTTATGTTGGCTTCCAAGGTTGCATTTGAACCTTGCATTGTACAGTATATACACACAAGCCAGCACTGATTTGTAATGAAGCTGAGACTACTAATAAACATTATGTAACTTCTGCCTTTGCTTCTTCTCTGGCAATAATATTAGAGAATGCTATACTCTTTGGTATATAACTATGCATGTGATCCACTGCATCTTTTTGTGAACAGTTGTAAACACCTACTCTGGAATACATCTTTGATACACCTTTCTTCATATATGCCAAACAATACCTGTTAATCACCCAGCTATTCCTGTGACAATCAACAAGAGATAATGTTGAAAAGAGAAGTGAATTTGAAGACTGGAGAATACAACCAAGTAGCTACAGTATTTATACCCAAATCCAGTCTGAGTCATATCTACAACTAATGAGTCATAAGGCTATGTACCGCATGGTGCACTGGTCATGGGTTGTAGTAGAACCTTCTGGAGCATATGTCGCGCAGCCTTGAATCGATAAAGATAATCCCTGAAACCCCCTAGCCCAGACCGTCTGATGCCGTGATCCGTGATAAGATAAGTTGTGCCGAGATAAGATGAGATCGTTGATGATAAGATGAAAAAGTGGCTGAACTATGACATTACCCCCTCTCTAGGGTCGATGTCCTCATTGACTAGGCCAATGGGCGTGAAGGCGTTCTCGTAAGGGTCAAAGAGTTGTCGTTGGGGATATGGAAGGTGCTCGTCCCTGGGTTTGTAGTGATGAATAAGGTAGTCCCAATGTCCAGCTTCGAGTGTTGGCAGGAGGCGAATGTGTGTGTCTAGGTTGGATTGTTTCCTCTGCCAATCTCTCAGGACCTTTTTTGCGTGGGTAAGGTGACGTGATGGTTCCCAGGTGTTCTCGCTATGCGGCCATCCCTTCCATTTGACCAAGTACTGTTTTCCTCGGCCAACGTTTCGCTCTTTCACGATCTCTTTGACTTCCCACTCCTCTGCTCCTCCAATCATCTTGGCTACGGGCCTCTTCTCTTGGCAATGGGGGGATGGCTCGTGATAGGGTGTCAACAGTGACTCGTTGAACACCGGGTGCCTTCGGTCCGTGTCCGGCAAATCTAGCTTCCATGCAGCCGCTCCAACCTTCTCCAGTATCTTGTATGGCCCCAATCTCTTGTCACTCATCTTCTTTGATGGTCTATCCGTCTCAATATTGTCCCCTTCTATGTACACCTTCATCCCAACCTTCAACTCCAGAACTTCTTTTCTTTGTTTATCATAGTATTTTTTCATTTTTCCAATGCTGCTTTTGCTTCGTCTTGTATTTCTTTGATTCTTTTTACAAACTCCTCCGCCGACTCGTTCCTCGATTCCATCTGTTGCTCCACTCCCTTCCATGAGTGATATCCGTGATTCGCGTAGAACGATGATATTTTGGTAGACCTGTTCATTTTATTGTTATATGCAAACTCTGTCATTCCCAGCCACTCTGACCAGTCTGTCTGATGGTAATTGACATAGATGCGGAGATAGTGCACGATCTCTTGATTCATGTGTTCCGTTTGTCCATCCGTGATCGGGTGATATGCGGTCCCCGGATTCATTTCCACGTTCAACATCCGATTTGTCTCCTTTATAAAGCCCTTGATGTAACGCGAATCTCTGTTGGTGATGATCTTGCAAGGGATCCCGTGGTAGCGGAAGACTCGGTCCCTGGTTAATCGTGCGACTCCTTCACTGCTGATGTCAGTACTAATTGGTTTGACATGGATCATTTTGGTGAAGGTGTCACACCACACGTGAATTGCGTCATACCCATTACTGACTGGTAAGGGTCCAATTTGATCCATTGAGATGATTTCCCACGGCGCATTTGGGACTGCATGCGGGTGCAGAGTCCCCATCCTTGCTCTCCTGGTCTTGGTCCGTTGGCACGCCTCGCACGTCTGGATGTATTTCCAAATTTGGTTTCCCATCCTTGGCCACCAGTAGTTCCTTTCCACCATTTCCTGTGTTCGGTTGATTCCAGCGTGTCCGACTAAAGGTGTGTCGTGGTGTAGCCCAATGATCTTGTCTCGCAGTTCCTCATCCCTCGGTACGTGATGAGTCCGTCTTCCTTTTTCCATCCAGCAAGTGACTTCTCCAAGGCCGCCTTGACGCTTCCATCAATTGACCAAGTGGCCTTGATCTCATTGATTAGCTGCTGATCCTGCCCCTCGAATGTGACTTCTTGTGATCAGAAGAACTCAGGCTTTAGTAGTGTGATGTCCTTGTTGTCATTCTTGCCCTGATCGTGATCTGCTTGTCGAGATAAGAGGTGCGCCTTGCAGTTGAGTGCGCCAGGCCGGTGTCGTAAGGTGAAATCAAACTCCGCCAACTCCGTGATCCATTGTGCTTGCCGTCAATTGAGCTTCTGCGGTTTTTGGAAGTACTCAAGATTTTGATGATCGGTGAAGATCTCGAACGTTTCTGTGGCTCCCAGTAATAACTGCCTCCATTCATCCAATGATAGCATGATCGTGAGCATTTCTTTGTCATAGATCTCATAATTTCGCTCGGTTTCGGTCAATGCGTGCGAAATAAATGCAATTGGGCGCCAAATGCCGTTTTGGTTTTGGCTCAGAACGGAGCCTGTTGCCCCTTCCAAAGCATCAGCTTCCAGACAATATTGGCCAGTGTCATTTGGCAGTGCTAAGACTGCATCCTCTGCGATTCTCTTCTTCAACCCATCAAATGCTGCACACTCATCTGTACCCCATGACCATCCTGCCTTCCCTGTCAGCCGTGTCAACGGCTTGGCAACCTCCGCATATCCCCGGACGAAGCGTCGATAGAAGTTGGTGAACCCTAGGAAAGCTTGGACTTGTTTGACGCTTTTTGGTTCAGGCCATTCCATCACGCCCTTGATCTTGACTGGGTCCATTCGCATTGAATTGTGTCCAATAATTACCCCCAGATATTCGATCTCTGTGTGTTCGAACTCGCACTTTTTGGGTTTCAGATACAACTTGTGTTTTTGGAGCAGTTCAAGTACTCGCTTTGTGATCCACCGATGTTCGTTCAAGGTTTCTGTGAAGATCAATATATCGTCAAGATAGACTACCACATGTCCCTCGTTGATCAGTTCCCGGAGTATGTCATTCATCATGTTTTGAAAGGTCGCTGGGGAGTTTGTGAGGCCAAAGAACATAACCAAGGGCTTGTACAGCCCGCGGTTCGTGCGGAACGCAGCCTTCCACTCGTTGCCCTCTTTGATCTGTACATTGTTGTATCCCCATCGGATGTCTAGCTTTGTGAAGAACTTGGCACCGCAGAGGTTATGGACCAGTTTGGAGATCAGCGGCAGTGGGTGCCAATTTCGGATCGTCATCTCATTCAGCTTCCAATAATCTTGGACAGGTTGTAGCGAGCTATCTTTCTTCTTGACAAAGAAGAACGCTGATGCCATAGGTGATTTTGATGGCCTGATCCGTCCGCTGGCCAGGTTCTCTTGTAAGAACTCATTGAGTTTGACTTGTTCGTTTTGTGATAACGGGTACACCTTGCAGTCCACTGCTTTGGAACCCGGTTTGAGCTCAATTGCGTGGTCCCATGCTTGTCGGTCTGGTAGCGAGTCGAACAATTCCTTGGCAAATACTTGATGAATTCCCGATATTGATCCGGAATCTTCCCCTCAGTCATTCTCTCTTTCTCCTTTTCCGCCTCTTCTGCGAATTTCTGTGCCGGCGTTTCCTTCAGTCGTAGATCCACCTCCTTTCCAAAGTCGACCAACAGGATTGATTCTCCCTCTTCCATATCCGGCGCGTCCGTGTCCAGGTCGATTGCATCCATGTTGATCATTGCTTGATGTTCCTTGTGACCCCTCATGTGACACCGCTCTGGGCATCGGCTGAATCTCATTGTCTGCTCCTGCCAATCCACCTTGGGGTTGTGTTTCGTCAGCCAATCAAGCCCGATGAAGATCCGAGCTTTCCCTAAACACGTTAGAAGGAACGTGCGTGTCTCCACATGAGGGCCAATTCTCATCCTCAGGTCGACGTAATGCGTGATTCGTCCGCTGATGTTCTTGGTGTTGTCGGCATTACAAGCCACGATGGGTTGCGGAAGCTCTTGGATATCCAACTTCTCTGCCCGCGCGTAGTCGGTATCGATGCAGCAGGTACTGCAGCCACTATCCAACAGTGCTTTGACTCCGCGCGTTTTCCCCGAGTCCAGGCCTGTGATCTGGACATATATGTCCATTGAATGCCTCTTCCTTTTGGCCTGGTAGTTGCGCAATTCCTGCGCCAATCTGTTGGGCTAGGGGCCCTTCTGTTTCTTGGCCGCCAATTTTCTCTGGACGGCATCTGGCACCCTGGTGCGTTTGGGTGCTTCTGGAACCTTGATTTTGGCAGATTCCTTAGGCGCTTCCTCCCTTTTCAAGGATTGAGCCTCCAGAGCAATACTCCCCTTTTTGGTCTTTGTTGACGTGGTTTCTTCTCCACGAGCCATAAATAAGTAGGAGTCCAAAATTCATTTATCCGCAGCTTTCTGATCCTTTTTACTCTGTAAATACTCTCTATTTAAAGTTATTTTTCTTTGGCGTTCTTTTTCCATATTGGCAATGAGAAAATCATGAATATTCGTATGTAGTGAGTCTGAGATTGTGTATGTATGTGTAGAATCGTTCATGTCTTTAATTGAAACAAGTACAGAAAATCGTCCATAACCCAGACACTCCACCTCCTTGGCTAGAGGAGTGGAGCGCTTTAAAAACCCTTCTCACGCAGCTTCTCGGCAATCTCCCTGAGGAACTTGTTGTCCTTGTCCCCGTTCTTGATCTCTTCAAGCATCGTGGCCCGATTGAAAAATGTGCGCTTCTTCCTTGGTTCTGGGCAGTTCTGCGCAATGTGCCCAGGCTGCTGACAGTTGTAGCAGATGATATTGCGGCCGCGGGCGTGCGTGCAATCGATTTCCATTGGAACTGGCTCATTGGCGGCGGGTCAGGTTGGAGCGGGTGTGGGCGCGGCTGGTGCTGCCTGGGAACGGAACTGGGAAGGTGGTCGTGGTGTGGAGTGCCCATGCGATGCTTTGCGCAGCTGATCGCGCAGAGCGTTTGCCTCAATGTTGACACACCAGTCCTTGAAGGCACTATACGCCTTGGGCAGAGGGATACCAGTGTTGTAGAGGCGACTTACGATCTTGCTGCTCAACCTGCACTCGAGGAACTCAATGAGGATGTTGTCCTGATCCCCCTTCCTGTACTCGCCCTTCGAATCGGTGGAGGTGACCACATTGTAGCCTGCGTCTGCAGCCAGCATCTCAAAGTTGGAGATATAATCTGCGAAGGATTACCTATTCTGGCGCAGAGCCATGAGTCGAGCAGTGGCAACTTGCTCTGCGTTGGAGTCCCCAAAGGCCCTCTGAAGTTCCTCTAAGAAGGTTGCTGAGGTGACCCCAGCCTTTATTCCATTAAGGCTCTTGAAGTTGCGCTGTTTCTAGTTCATTGCCCATCTCGAGGCGGCGCAGCTTGTGCCAGCCTCGTTACGGAGGTACGAGAGGATGAAGAGGATTTTTGTCTCATCCTGCGAGAATTCCGACCAATAGGCACCGATGTAGGTGGTGCACGAGTCCACAAAGCCCATATATTTGGATTTGTCCCCATTGAAGTAGGGGGGGTTGGCAGCGAGGGTCATGCGGTGGTGTCCTGACATGGTAGAAGCAGGCGTGGTAGGTGGGGGCGAGGGTGGTTGTTCAGAGGGTAACTCGTCAAGGTTGGGGATCTTGTCTTCAGGCGGCGGGAGGGCGAGGTAGGGGTTGGAGGGCCCTGGTTGGTTTTGATACGCCAGATCGGGCAACAATGGTAGGATGGGAGGAGGGGACAGACTCCCAGACGACGATGGGAATCGGAATGAAATGGTGGATTTGTGTGCTGTACAAGCACTCGAGGGAGGGTTCTTTTGCTAGCAAAAAGATCCTGGGCCTAGCTTCTCACGTGCCTGATGATCCTGAGGTGCGTTTTCCCAAAGGTCTCCGCAGCACTCCTTGTAGCTACTGTAAGGCTTGGGTCGGGCTCAATGTTACCCGTGGCCTGGTGCTGTTTGCTCAATATGAACCCTCCACTGCAATTGCAGAGGACAACTAGATGATTCGGTAAAAGGGTGAGTGCAATAATAAGGGTGCAGAGGATATAGCAGGCATAGCAGTGAGGGATGCAGGGGTAAGAGGTATGAGGTAGGAGGGTATGAGGGGAGTCTTCGAATTATGTGACAATCAACAAGAGATAATGTTGAAAAGAGAAGTGAATTCGAAGACTGGAGAATACAACCAAGTAGCTACAGTATTTATACCCAAATCCAGTCTGAGTCATATCTACAACTACAGTAGAACTGCTAATAGGGAATAATTTTGGGAAGGCCCAGGCCATCCCAGATTTGTATTCCTTATCACGGATATTCCATATGAGGTGTTGAATTCAGTGGTGAAGGGCAAAACGGGGTAACCAAATTGTATTCCTTATGACCTATATTCCTTATCACAGTATTCCGTATGAACAGTTCTACTGTAATGAGTCATAAGGCTATGTACCGCATGGTGCACTGGTCATGGGTTGTAGTAGAACCTTCTGGAGCATATGTTGTGCAGCCTCAAATTGATAAAGATGACCCTCTATACCCCTAACCCGGACCGTGTGATGCTGTGATCTATGATAAGATAAGATTGTGCATGATAAGATAAAAAGAGAATTGAACTATGACATTACCCTCTCTCTAGGGTCAATGTCCTTATTGACTGAGTCAATGGGTGTGAAGATATTGTCGTATGGGTCAAAGAGTTGTTGTCAGGGATATGGGAGCCACTCGTCTTTGGGTTTGTAGTGATGAATGAGATAGTCCCAGTGTCCAGCTTCAAGTGTTGGCAGGAGGCAAATGCGTGTGTCTGGGTCGGATTGTTTCCTCTGCCAAGCCTTCAGGACTCTCTTTGCATGGGTAAGGTGACATGATGGTTTCCAGGTGTTCTTGCTATGCGGCCATCCCTTCCATTTGACCAAGTACTGTTTTCCTCGGCCGATGTTTTGCTCTTTCATGATCTCTTCAACTTCCCACTCCTCTGCTCCTCCAATCATCTTGGCTACGGGTCTCTTCTCTTGGCGATGGGGGGGCGGTTTGTGATAGGGTGTCAACAATAACTTGTTAAACACTGAGTGTCTTTGGTCCGTATCTGGCAGATCCAACTTCCATGTGGCTGCTCTGACCTTCTCCAGAATCTTGTATGGTCTCAACTGTTTATTGCTCATCTTCTTCAATGGTCTGTCTGTCTCGATATTGTCCCCTTCTATGTACACCTTCATCCCAACCTTCAGTTCCGGAATTTCTTTGCTTTGTTTATCGTAGTATTTTTTCATTTTTTCATTTGCTTTTTCTAGTGCTGTTTTTGCTTTGTCTTGTATTCCTTTGATTCTTTTTACAAACTCTTCTGCCGACTTGTTTCTTGATTCCATCTGCTGCTCTATTCCCTTCCATGGGTGATATCTGTGATTTGCGTAGAATGGTGATACTTCTGTAGAGGAGTTCATCTTGTTGTTATACGTGAACTCAGCCATTCCCAGCCACTTCGACCAATCCGTCTGATGGTAATTGACATAGATGCGGAGATAATGCTCAATCTCCTGATTTATGTGTTCCATTTGTCTATTGGTAATTGGGTGATATTGTTTAAGCAGGAAATGCAGAGAGGACTGGAGTCAACAGTAAGAAGCTCTGCATTGCAAGAGAAAACAAGAAAAGAATCTACAGACCTGGAGTCAACAGTAAGAAGCTGAAGAACTCCAGGGAGGGAGGAACTATCTATGTGGATGGAGCATGTGACTGTACAGGAATCATGTGATCAGAAGTCATGTGACCAGAATGATGGAATGATGGGAACAGTGATAGAATCAGATATCATCAGTGATGTGATCAATGATAAGATCAGATGGAATCAGATGATCATGTGACCCAATCACCAGAGAGTGATCAAGTCCAAAACCCATCACCAACACTCCCCCGGGATGAGATCAGTCTCTCAGCCTCTCCCCCGCAATCTCATCAGTGTGCGCAACCTTGCCACCTGAGGCCGAGGCAGCGCCTTGGTCATAATGTCAGCCAGCTGGTCCTGCGTTGGAACATACTTCACATCAATGAACCCTCTGGCAACTTCATCTCTGAGCCAGTAGTGAGCCAGGTCCAGATGCTTCATACGCCCATGGTGTTCAGGATTCTTGGACACAGATATGACAGACTGGTTGTCCATCATCAATGGAGAAGCCCCAGACACACCATGCTCCAGCTCATGCAGCAGATTGCGCATCCACTTGATTTGCTTCCCAGCATCCACACCAGCCACATACTCGTCAGACTTGATGCACTTGAACCCCATGGCAGTCAGCTTGGCAACCAACTTGATGCGCCACTGGCGGCTGGCCTGCTTCAGCCCATAGATGGACCGGTTCAGTTTCAGGACCTGGCCCTTCTCTCCCTGGAGGAACCCTTCTGGCTGAGTCATGTAGACATCCTCATCCAGGTCCCCATTAAGGTAGGCAGAAGAGAAGTCGATGGAGCGCAGTTTGAGGTTGTTCTGGGCAGCAAGAGCAAGGATGATGCGCAGAGTAGCAGGTCTGAAGGTGGGTGCAAACACCTCATGGTAGTCAATGCCATAGCGCTGGCCACGACCATCTGCCACGAGTCTGGCTTTGTAGCGTTCCACAGCGCCATCAGACTTGTGTTTGATCACAAACACCCATTGAGAGCGAATTGGCTTGACCCCTTGTGGCAAGTCGACCACATCCCATGTGCAGTTGCTGAGCAGAGAGTCAATCTCTGAAGCAGCTGCAGCGCGCCATAGTGGACCATCCTCCCGCTTAGACGCTTCAAAGAACGACCTGGGGTTCCCAGAGGCTATAGCAGACAACGCGGACTGCACTGCAGTAGCGTGAGCTGCTGCCAGCTTGGGATCTGAGGGGTCACCCTCGCGAGCCACAATAAGGGCAGAGGATGACTTCAGAAGCAGCTCATCGTCGCTGAGGTCTTCAGGGATCTCTTCAAAGATCTCTGCCATGGTGCGCCTAGGAGGAGCAGCAGCCAGAGCTGGAGCCCTCCTGGGTGGTGCAGGGACACGATGGATGCCAGCAGCAGCACGACGAGCTGCCACCCCAATTGGAGATTGGGGAGGAGGAGGCGAGGGTGGAGGGTGAAGCGGGGCATCCCCAGCTGGTGGTGGAGATGGAGGTGGTGGAGCTCGATGCAGAAAGTCGATTTCATCATCACTGCTGGCTGCAGGAGAGGGAACTCGTGGTGCAGGGAGAGGACGAGCAGGCGGCTGTTGCTGCTCATCATCACCATTGTCATCAGGGACATACACCGGTGCCAGAGTGCAAGGGGGATCCACCAGCATGGAGGAAGGGGGTGCCGCAGGACAGCTCCTCACAGCTTGAGGGGTGCTGCCTGGGAAGTAGCGCTCATCAAACAGTGCTCTCTCAGCGATCACAAGTTTCCGAGTCTCTGGGTTGAAGAACAACCATCCCTTGTACCCTGCAGGATAGCCTACAAAGATACACTTCTGGACATGATGCCCAGAAGGACCTCTCTTGTCTCTTTGCACATGCACATAGGCAAGGCATCTCCAAACACGTAGATGAGGCACATCAGGCTTTGCCTTGAACCACAGCTCATGGTGAGTCCTGGTGGGGTCTCGAGCTGTGGGGTGCATGTTGCACACATGGATGTATGCAGATACCGCCAGCACCCTGAATGCAGGGGGCAGGTTGGCTTCGTGTAACATGGCAGTGGAGTGCTCATCAACAGTGCGGTTAGACCGCTCTGCTGTCCCATTCTGCTGAGGCCGTGCCCTGACTGAATGGCGGTGCACAATGCCACACTTGTCCAGATGGGATCTGAACTCATTAGACATGTACTCTCCTCCTTTATCATCCTGGAATGCCTTGATCTTGAGCCCCCAGTGAGTCTCAGCATACGCTTGAAACATCTTAAGGGCTGCAAAGGTCTCACTCTTGTTCTTCATGTGGTATGCTACCTTGAAGCCAGTGTGATCATCAACAAAAGTCACCCTGTGCTTCCAGCCCTCGCGGGTGGGCACAGAGTAGCTCTTTAGATCAGAGTGAATGAGATCAAGAGGTGTTGAACACAGAAAACACAGATGGGAGCCGCAGGAGGCTAGGGGCACAGATGGGAGGCGAAAAGCCCAGTCTGTCACATTGATCTAGGGCTATGTACTGATGGTCACATAGCTAAGTAACACTCTTTTGTCTGAACCAAGCAGGACATCCTTTCCACACTTCAACACTCCCACCCTTGGGAAGACAAAACCAATCAAACAGAACACTCCCACCCAACCTAAGTCCGTCTTGGAGACAGGAATGGTCCACTAGGCCCTCCACCAATCTCCGCTTCATTGGACATCTGGAACTCATCCCACATCTCAAAGAAGCTCTCCCTGGTCAGACCAGCCTCCAGTGCAGCAGAGATAGCTGCAGAAGCGGAGCTGCTCTTGCCATTAGCCAGGATCCAGTCCTTGACAAAGGTGGGCATGGTGTGCATGCACGTGTGAGCAATGTGGCCAGTGCGTCCACAGCGATGGCAGCCCCTGGTGGTAGGGTCACACCAACGAAAACCTTGGGAATCCAGCGGAAATCTGTCCTGGGCAATGCTGCCAGTGATGGGGGAGGTGTATGATGACGTGGCAGATGCTGTGCCTCGACGTGGCGCCGATGCAGCCAGGGCCAGGCTCGAAATATTGCCATCTTCGATTTTGAGAACCACTCCAGGGTCTGAGCTTGAGCTGGCAAGCTGGGTGATGCAGTCTTCGAGTTTGGGCTCAGGAGAGCGTGCAAGGAGGATGGTGCGGACTGTGTGGAAGGCTGGGTGAAGATTCATGAGCAGGACATCTTTGTGGATGGTGGAATCGATGGAAACACCCATGGCAGCCAGTTTCTTCACTGCATCTCCTACAGCTTGAATGTAGACGTCTATATCCTTGGTGGGGTCATGGGAAATGGAGTGCAGCTCAGCGCTGGCAGCCATCCTGGTGCTCATGCTCGATTTTTCGAAGTGGGCCTTGAGGGCAGCCCAGGCAGCAGTGGCAGACTCGAAATCATCCAGGAGGGGCTGGTACTGCTCCTCTATCTTGGTGTAGAGGTAGGGGAGGAGCATTCTGTCCAGAGCAACTTGGTCAGACTCATCTGCTTTTGGCCCTTTCCCCATAACCCAAAGTGCGTCCACTCCCAGCAAAAACACCTTGAATCCCTTCCCAAACTTGGCCCAGTTGTCCTTCCCCAGCATAGGAACAGTGGTGAGAACAATGGTGAGGGCTGAGGTGATAGTAGGCGCCATGGTGGTGCAGGGAGAAGCGGTAGGAGCGTCAGGGAAAACCGGAACAGAGGGGAGAAGCAAAAAGAGCGAAAAAAAGAGCGAAAAATGCGCAGAGGGAGCAAGGAAAAAGGTAGATGGATAGGTCAGGGCGGGGCCAATAACCTGTTGAACACAGAAAACACAGATGGGAGCCACAGGAGGCTAGGGGCACAGATGGGAGGCGAAAAGCCCAGTCTGTCACATTAATCTAGGGCTATGTACTGACGGTCACATAGCTAAGTAACACTCTTTTGTCTGAACCAAGCAGGACATCCTTTCCACACTTCAACAGATACAGGGGGCTGTTTGTGTCTATTTAGGACGAGTCAACATGACTCTAGATGACACGTGATGGAGTCATAGATGTGTATCACAACATCCATCTTAACAGATGATATTTGATCGACACTCCTCCACGCTGAAAACCACAGGGTAGTGTTTGAAAGCGAAATCTTCATCGGCCATTCCTTCAGGACAAGTTGAACTCAAGTTCTAGTTGAGACCTGAACTCCTCGAACTTGACGCGTCCTAGGTTCTTGGTGAACATGTCTGCAGAATTCTCACTGCCCAGAATAAAGAACACTTCAACCTCTTCTTCCTCGACTTGCTCACGAATGTAGTGATAGCGGATGTCTATGTGTTTCATCCTGCGGTCTCGGTAGGCATTGCTGCCACTGAAGAGTGCACCCTGATTGTCACCGCAAATGGGTACTGGGATAGTGAGCTTGAACTGGAGTTCCGAAAGGATGCTCTTTAGCCACATCACCTGGCGACTACAATCTGAGATCGCCATGTACTCTGCTTCGGTCAAAGACTGCGCAACAGTGCACTGAAGTCTAGACTGCCAGCAAATAATCCCGTCTGCCAATTTCGTGAAGAAACCAGTGGTAGACCTCCTCTTGATCGGATCAGCGGCCCAGTCTGAATTGCTAAATGCAATTAGCCCTCTATCCGTTGCACCATTGAAAATGAGCAAATAATTCCTAGTACCAGCCAAATAGCGGCAGATATAGAGCACTTTATGGAGGTGGTCTTGAGACGGATTGGCAGCAAATTGTGATAATTTGGTCACAGCAAATGCAATGTCAGGACGTGTGCCTAGCATGATGAAGAGAAGAGATCCAATGACTGATTGGAATTTCTTCCTGAGTTCTGGATCAACTTCATCTGTTGAAGTGTGGTGCTCCTCCCCTACCTCTACACCAAGATAGAGGAGCAGTACCAGCCCCTCCTGGATGATTTCGAGTCTGCCACTGCTGCCTGGGCTGCCCTCAAGGCCCACTTCGAAAAATCGAGCATGAGCACCAGGATGGCTGCCAGCGCTGAGCTGCACTCCATTTCCCATGACCCCACCAAGGATATAGACGTCTACATTCAAGCTGTAGGAGATGCAGTGAAGAAACTGGCTGCCATGGGTGTTTCCATCGATTCCACCATCCACAAAGATGTCCTGCTCATGAATCTTCACCCAGCCTTCCACACAGTCCGCACCATCCTCCTTGCACGCTCTCCTGAGCCCAAACTCGAAGACTGCATCACCCAGCTTGCCAGCTCAAGCTCAGACCCTGGAGTGGTTCTCAAAATCGAAGATGGCAATATTTCGAGCCTGGCCCTGGCTGCATCGGCGCCACGTCGAGGCACAGCATCTGCCACGTCATCATACACCTCCCCCATCACTGGCAGCATTGCCCAGGACAGATTTCCGCTGGATTCCCAAGGTTTTCGTTGGTGTGACCCTACCACCAGGGGCTGCCATCGCTGTGGACGCACTGGCCACATTGCTCACACGTGCATGCACACCATGCCCACCTTTGTCAAGGACTGGATCCTGGCTAATGGCAAGAGCAGCTCCGCTTCTGCAGCTATCTCTGCTGCACTGGAGGCTGGTCTGACCAGGGAGAGCTTCTTTGAGATGTGGGATGAGTTCCAGATGTCCAATGAAGCGGAGATTGGTGGAGGGCCTAGTGGACCATTCCTGTCTCCAAGACGGACTTAGGTTGGGTGGGAGTGTTCTGTTTGATTGGTTTTGTCTTCCCAAGGGTGGGAGTGTTGAAGTGTGGAAAGGATGTCTTGCTTGGTTCAGACAAAAGAGTGTTACTTAGCTATGTGACCATCAGTACATAGCTCTAAATCAATGTGACAGACTGGGCTTTTCACCTCCCATCTGTGCCCCTAGCCTCCTGCGGCTCCCATCTGTGTTTTCTGTGTTCAACATCATCCTCGTTTGGCATTGGAACATATCCAGCCGGTAGAGGGGTCGATGCAAACTTTGCGTTCTGCATCCCAAAGCGCTCTAGCACCTTTTCAAGATAAGAAATCTGATCAATCTTGATCGAAGATCCTACTCTACTGAAGCGTACGCACAAAAACTCTGGAGTATCTTCAGAATTACGGCATTCCCATCACTTGTTGAACTCAGTCTTGAGAAAGGCAAGGAGCTTCTTGTTCTTGGAGAAGAACAGTGCATCATCCACATAGACTATTATAATGGCTATGCTGCCATCAGAGTCCTTGTAGAAGAACACGCCAGCATCCAATGTTAGTCGGATCTAGCCCATGGCTTTCGTGGACTTGATCAGTGCTTTCCACCATGCTAAAGCAGCTTGTTTGAGTCTATAGATTGCCTTGTGCAAGCGCAAAGTCATGTGCAAGTGCATGACTTTGCGCTCTTGGCCTCTCACCACAAAGCCTTCAGGTTGTTCCATGTAGACCTCTTCATCAAGCTCTCCATAGAGAAAAGCCTTACTGAGGTCGAGTCTAGACCAATGCCAATCATTTAGCGCTGCAAGCGCCATGACCAGCCAGAACGTCTCATACCTGACGACAGGAGAGAATGTCTCATCATAGTCAACACCTTCAACTTGACTGAAACCCTTGGCAACTAGGCGGGCACGTTTTTGGCCATCAGATTTTTGGTCAAAGACCCAGTGACATCTGATAACCTTCCGTCCTTTCGGTGTTGGAGTTGTTGGAGTATGGGTCCAAGCACTATCGGCAGAATAGCTCAGTTGGTTAGAGCACTGGTTGCACTTATCAGAGGTCCCAGGTTCAATTCCTGGTTCAGCCATTTTACCAACATGGTAGCAGCAACTCACAGACATAAGTCGGCCTGGAACACACTGGCGTGGACCACTGCAGTCTGATGAGTGCCTAATGATAAATGGTGCCACCCCGTCCTTGACAGGCACAGTGCCAATGGTGCTGTGATACCGGGGGAGTGTTGGAGTTGGGAATCCCAGCACCAAGGCAGAATAGCTCAGTGGTTAGAGCACTGGACGATCCAAGTCAGAGGTCCCAGGTTCAATTCCTGGTTCAGCCATTTTATCAACACAGATGGCATGGGAAATGGAAAAGGATCATCTCCATATAGCCAATCTTCTCCGTCTACCTGTGGTGGATCTTGTGGATTCACTGGGTCATCACGTTCTGGAAATTCCTCTCGAACAGAAACGTGGGGTGGTCGATTGCTGTCAGGACAGCAAGGGAACAACTCCTCATCGAATAATGCCTTGGTGGCAACAAACATGGAATTGTTTGTGTGCATGAATAAAAATCCTTTCACACCATCAGGAATGCCCGAGTAAGTCATCAGCTCCGATTTGGGCGATAACTTGTTGGCGCGCTTCTCATCAGGGATAAAGACATATGCAGCACAACCAAAGCCTCGGAGTTCAGAAACATCCGGTTTTTCCTTGTGAAGGGCTTCAAATGGAGTTTTCCATTTTAGACGCCTGATAGGTGTCATGTTGTAGATCCGTGTTGCATGTTTAATCGCGAATTCCCAATAAAAATTAGGAAGACAGGCAGTAAAGCGCATAGCTTCTGCCTTATCCATGATTGTACAATTGAAGCGCTTGGCATGCCCATTCTGCTGGTGAGCATATGGAGCACCCTTCTCCACTAGAATTCCTTGTTCTGCAAGAAATTCTTCCATTCCCATCCCCATGAATTCTCCCCCATTGTCAATATGCCACTTTTTGATGGTGACATTAAACTGGTTTTTGACCATCGCAATGAAATTGCGCATAGCTTGCTTGGTGTCAGATTTCTGCGCAAGGCATACTGTCCAGCCATAGGAGAGTGCTTCGTTAAAGAAGCTCATGAAGTAACGGTACTTGTGATAAGACACTGTGGGATATTGTTTGAGATCCGAGTGAATCAAATCAAACGGATTCTCCGCTCATTTTTTGGAAGGCGAGAAGGCACGTTGGTGCATTTTCCCTTGCGCGCATCCTTTACGCGGTTGGGTTTCCTCAGGAAATACTAGGTCTTCTGGAAAGCCCTTGGTATTCTTTTTTGCCTGACGTAAAACATCTTTCAACGGATGTGCAAATTGCCGGTGCATGATCTCATAATCCACCTTGTAAACAGTGGACATGGATTGCACTGTCTCAGCCGTGCTAGGCTTTGACATCAGGAAGTACAAGGCAATGTCCTTCCCTAGAGTTCTAAACTCCATGATCGAGAGTGGGGACTTCCCTCGATGTAAGCTGATCTGCAATTTGTCTCCACAAACGCGAGATCCTCCTTTGAGTAAGGAGCCCAAAAACATGAGACGACCATGTAATCCTGGCACTAGGTACACTGGATATATCTGGGAAGTCACCATAGTCTTTTCTCCATGCCTTGTGACGTAATGATCGATGAAGGCTGTTCCTTGACCAATAAGGGCAACACATGTGTTCTTATCAGCAGTCTGAGCAACAATAGGATCTGAGAGCTTCTCATATCCGACCAGATCACTAATCTCTGATGTCACATGGAGAGATGCACCTGAATCAAGAAGCCATAGAGGCCCTAATTCATGATGATGATGATGTTTCCCCTTACACTTAGAGCAGGCAGCAAAATCGAAGTGCACACAGAATAGATTGGTACAAAAATCATGCAAACAAATCATCAACGAATTTAGTACAGAACCCAGGGCGGCGGTGATTACGCGCTCTGGCTGTGAGCAACAATCAGAATTGTGTTGATGTGTGGATATTGTATGTGCTTGGTTCGGACAAAGGGTGTGACATTACTCTGTGACACATAGTATATAGCATCAGATCAATGTGACCTACTGGGCTTTTCGCCTCCCATCTGTGCCCCTAGCCTCCTGCGGCTCCTATCTGTGTTTTCTGTGTTCAACAAATTGTGCATATGCCCAAGAAGGCAGGGTACTTGCCTTTTGGCAGAAGGAGCGTCCATCTCCTCCAGAAGGGTGTTGAAGTCAACGACCTCATCTCAATTGACTGGTTCAGCCTGGGCAAACTCACTATCTCCAAACAGAAGATCAAGATTGTTCTGTTGGCCGGTGGCCATCTCAACATCGGGGATCTCTTTGATACGACTGCGTTTGGCAGGAGGACCACCATCCAGAGTGTGATTCGAGCCAGAAGCAACTGGAGATGGAGAACGCATGATTGCGTCCTCGCGGTGTTGAAGCAGGAAATGCAGAGAGGACTGGAGTCAACAGTAAGAAGCTCTGCATTGCAAGACAAGACAAGAAAAGAATCTACAGACCTGGAGTCAACAGTAAGAAGCTGAAGAACTCCAGGGAGGGAGGAACTATCTATGTGGATGGAGCATGTGACTATACAGGAATCATGTGATCAGAAGTCATGTGACCAGAATGATGGAATGATGGGAACAGTGATGGAATCAGATATCATCAGTGATGTGATCAGTGATAAGATCAGATGGAATCAGATGATCATGTGACCCAATCACCAGAGAGTGATCAAGTCCAAAACCCATCACCAACACGCGGAGCATTCCTTTCTCATTGACTATCTTGTCAAGAGTCCGGAAGCGTTCTGCGGTCACTGTCATGTCCATCTTTTTGGAAAGCTCAAAGACCTTACAAGTAGGCTTCTGGAACTCGGTGTCAATAATCCCATTGTTGTTAACGGGAGACTTATCTTGAACCGTGCGGATTTTAGGTCCATCGCGAGAGATGTGCGTGACATGCGAGATTGTTGGCACAGGGATAGACGGAGTGAGCGAGGCAATCGAACCAATAGTGAGGGAGCCAGTGATCTCAGAGACTCCATGGACATGACCATAATCGGCCTTGCCCTTGCCCTTGTTGTCCTTGTTCTTCCCACTGCGCTTGCCTCGACGGTTCTTCTTCTTTCCATCAGCCTTATCACCCTTATCGGGTGCAGAGCCAGAGCCCTGTTGCTGATTGGTGAATGAAGGGTTATTGCGCTTGTGCTTGGTATTGAACTTGGCCACATGATTCTGGTTTTGAGACTGCTTCTGAGCGAAATGCGTCAAGAGAGCGTCGCAAACCACCAAGACCTTAATCTCGTCCTTGTCGTAAGTCTGTAGAACAGTCTCCGTAACAGAGGGAATCCGGGCTATGTTGAGAATGATCATCGCCGTTGGGAACTCAGGAATGATCAAAGACTCATTCTCCAGGCGAGTGAATACTGTAGTGATCACCAGCAGCTGTGGATCTGGGTGCAACCCCACGTTGTACTTGGAGTTCAACGCGGCTTGGAAGTACGCGTACAGGTCGGCGCACTGAGCACCACCATATTGGTCCTTCAGATGCTCCCAGATCTTAGCAGCTGACACTACATCGGTGGAGGGAATGTTAGCAATCACACCTTCCGTCAGGCGCAACTTAATGCTGCCTTTGGCTCTGAGGTCATCATGCTTCCATTGTCTGATTTCCGATGCGTTAGACACAGTGTTGAACACAGAAAACTCAGATGGGAGCCGCAGGAGGCTAGGGGCACAGATGGGAGGCGAAAAGCCCAGTAGGTCACATTGATCTGATGCTATATACTACGCGTCTGTTGAGGATGGGTTTTGGACTTGATCACTCTCTGGTGATTGGGTCACATGATCATCTGATTCCATCTGATCTTATCACTGATCACATCACTGATGATATCTGATTCCATCACTGTTCCTATCATTCCATCATTCTGGTCACATGACTCCAAGTCACATGATTCCTGCACAGTCACATGCTCTATCCACATAGATAGTTCCTCCCTC